CTCCATGACAGATTATGACAGAATTCCTTTGGGGTCTGCAATTTTGAGCAGTGCATTAAAAAGTGAGAAAGATGCAGCTGGCTTTTGTAGGCTTTTTACTTAGTGCAAAATACTAAAAATTGTGCTCTCCTTACAGTCCTGTATCAGAGAGTAGTTTTTCTCTGTAAGAAGACAGTTGTTTCTGTGTAGAGAGCAATAAAATCAGTAGGTGAGAACAAGTACACGTAGACAGGTCTGAAGAGAGTATATCAAACCTTTAAGATACTTATGTGAAGTTTTGCATTGCTGCCTAAAATGCTCTTGCCTAGTGCTATTACTGCCCCAAGGACAAGGCAAACATCTGTGATACCAGTGTTATCTTTTGCCTCCTTTGCCTGCAGGCAGTCTCCCAGCTGCTGCTTCTTGCCATTGCACTGGTGCTAAAAACAGGGTCGCTAAGTTGGGTGATTTTATGTAATGCTGACTGTTTGCCCAGTGCGTGGCAGGTGACTTGGCAAAAGGTAGGAAGTAATTTTTTAAAGCCTTCCTTGTTAACACGGTCATCAGCCCTGATTTTAGAGCAGTGATTTAGATGGGCAGATTCCGGAGTTGGTTTATGTGCTTGAAGTTGAGCTGTTGTAGGAATAAACTGAAGAACAGCTTTGGAGAAGTAAGATAATACTCTGGTGTTTTAAGCACTATTTCTTTTTCAAAGAATTTCCAGAACAGAAATTGTTTGCTGCTCTTCTGATCAAGTGTGTTGTACAGCTGGAACTCATTCAGACTATCGACAACATTGTGTTCTTCCCTGCAACTAGCAAAAAAGAGGATGCAGAGAATCTAGCAGCAGCACAAGTAAGTAAAATGTACAGGTGTATTCCCTCTTTGACAGCTTTTTCTCAAGTGGACAAAGTTTCATAAACTCCTGTAACATCGAATTTACAGCTTTTAGAAGTGCTAGAGAACTTGCAGCAGACTGTTGAGATCTTTTACTGCTTGTGTAAAATGGGGTTTGCTGTGCTTCTGTGCTATGCTGTGGAGATTAGAATGTTTGCTGTTCAGAGATCTCTCCAACCTGGGATGAGGGTGCAATTTTTCATACAGTTTTAAGTTTAAGTACAGTTGCAGATGAAAACATGGTAGGATTGCAGTGTCACAGGAGCTTCATGAAGGCAGTTGTCAATTCTGACCTGAAATCTTTTTTTCCCCAAATAGAGAGATGCAGTAGATTTTGATGTCCACGTGGATACACAAGATCAAGGGATGTATCGTTTTCTGACATCACAGCAGCTTTTCAAACTCCTCGATTGTCTGCTAGAATCTCACAGGTTTGCCAAGGCGTTTAATTCCAACAATGAACAAAGAACTGCTCTCTGGAAAGCAGGTGAGTCAGTCAGTCTCTGTGGAGAGAGATTCTTCATGAACATTCTGCTCTGCTTTGAATAGATGGGTAAGAAAGGTTTAAAAATACAGTGATGCTGTAATTTTATAGCCTTAGACATCCCTAAGTGAAGGAGGCCGCATCTATTTGGATGCAAATGCCTTTTGAATTTCCAAAGATGTAAGGGGCTGCCTTTGGGTGTACACAGCTGCCAAGTTAAACACTGGCTGTAGGTGTGAGTCCTGTGTTTGGAAACTACAGGTCCAAAACAGTGTTAGGAGGGTTGTGGGGCTAACAAGTCTGCTCTTGAAATTGTGGCGTTTTCCAAAACGGGTTGAAAATGGAATCTCTGTACTGGAGCAGTTCAACCTATTCCTTGCACTAAAATTAGCAATATTAATCTATAAATACATAGTATACATTATAAAATAAATACTTAAATGCATATATTTGTATAAACATGTATTATTTCTGTTCATATGTGTTGTGTGTTGTATGTTAACAAATATAACATGTGTAGTATGCTGTCTATATGCAGGACATGCTCAGGAGAGGTACCAAAAACTTCAGTGAAACAAACAAAGCCCTGAATGGGTTCTTTGAATTTCTTTAGGTTTTAAAGGCAAGTCCAAGCCCAATCTTCTGAAGCAGGAGACAAGCAGTCTTGCCTGTGGGTTACGCATTCTGTTCCGCATGTACATGGATGAAAGCCGAACCAGCGCGTGGGAAGAAGTCCAGCAAAGGCTGCTAAAGTAAGGGCTGTATAGCAGAACCTGCTAATGTTATCTCTGTAAAGAACGTGCTGGTTTGGGTTTGCTTGTTTGTAGTACACTTATTTGACTGAACAGCACTGTGTGGTGGTGGTCCCAGCTAGCATGTGGGTCAGTGAGGGATTTTTACAAAAAATATATGTATATATCAAACTTTTCTTTTTTTTTTCTCCCCAGTAACTTCAGCTGTTTTAGGGAGCTGATGCTGTTGGTTCTCATCTGTAGAAATGAGCGCAGGCTTTCAGGATACTGTGGGCACATAGAAGCTTGTGGCATGTTGTTTTTTGCATCGTTGAATATTAATTATACTCCACTCAGATTTACCTGAACGTTCTTACTTTGCAAAGTCCTTCAAGCCAGAGTTGGAATAACAGAGGCCTTCAAACCATGGTGGAGAAAGAATGGAAGTATTTTAAGATTTCATAGACCAAGTCTATTAAAAGGACTTGGAGCAAAGATGAAAAAGTGTGTTCTTGCATCAGCACAAGGTTCAGTCTGTTGTATCATTTTGTCTTGCATTCTAACACCCCTCAGAGAGCATTTGGTACCATTTATGTAGACGTGCAAACACGGCTATTGCAGTTCATCATCCTGTTCAGCACTGGGTTTTGGTTTTCATTTGAGCAAAGCCACCACTTTTGTTAATCATGAGACTCCCAGTGGCTTTCCCAGAGCAATGTGGTTCTGTGCCAGTTTTCTATGCTGGTGTGGCTACTTACAAAGCCAAAGCTCACCTTATAGTAGAGCTCAAAATACAGTGTGAGTTACTGGGTTGTGTCTTCTCTCTCCAGTGTCTGCAGTGAGGCTCTGAGTTACTTTCTTACTCTCACATCAGAAAGCCATCGGGAGGCCTGGACTAATCTACTGCTCTTATTTTTGACAAAAGTTCTGAAGATAAGTGATGAAAGGGTAGGTAATGGGAACTACTTGAAATGCTGCATTAAGTATCATTCCAAACCAGCAGCTCTTTGCTTCAGAAGTTCCTGCTGCTCTGTAGGGTTGTGTATTGTAGGAATCTGTGTTGCAGCTGCACTCATTGGTTACCAACGGCTGCATTGCAGAATGGGGGTACAGTGACTGCTGAGCTGTCTGAGAATATTTTAAAGATGCTAAAATTGTTTAGAAATGTGTTTTGAGTCGCTTTTATGCCTCTCCTGCTGAGAAGGGTTAGTGGCTGGTACTGCTTTCAAAGTGCCTGGAAATAACTCCTGCTTTTGCTTCCCATGTTGCACGTGAGTCACCTTGACCTTTTCCAAAGCAGTTCTGGATTAAATAAATCTGTATTTAGATCTCCCACCATTTCTAGCAGAACTGGGCTGAATTATTAAGTGAACAAGGCCAACCACAACCACAGACATAACGGATAAGGGCAGAATTCTTCCTGGTGAGGAGTAAGAGTTAGAGATCTGTGTGCAGCCAGTGAGCATGTCAGAAGGCTTGACAGCTGCCTTAGCCTTATCCCAGCACTGCAAGCTCCTGTTACGGTGATGCTTTGGCTTGTCACTTCATGGATTTCTCACCTTGACTTAGGAGAGCGTTTAAAATTCTTCACTCGCAGGCTTTCTGAGGTGTGCTGGTGCATTATGGAATAACCTGGCTGTTTGTTTGTTTTCTCCCCAGTTCAAGGCTCACGCCTCTTTCTACTATCCTCTCTTGTGTGAAATTATGCAGTTTGACCTTATCCCTGAACTCCGGGCTGTTCTGCGAAGGTTTTTCCTGCGGATCGGCGTGGTTTTTCAGATATCCCAACCAGCAGAGCACGAGTCTGCAATCAGCAAGCAGTAGCACGTAGTGACTGGGGGTTGCTCCCTTAAAAGCCTGAACTCCTCAGCTAAATAAAAGGACCAGCGAGCTGAGCCGTTCTGTCTGGGCATCCATAGCAATGGTTTCTTTGTACGGCAGGCAGTGTGTGTCTAAGGATGAATGGTACAGATGCTTACACCTGTAATTAAGGCTTGCAACACTCCAGTCCCTTTGTTTCCTGATGGATTGTCCATGGGTTTCTCTGCCCTGGCCGGTGCTGAGCACAGAGCCAGTTTTCAGCACAGTCCCCTCGTCAGCGTTGGGCTGCGCCATCCTTTCCTGTCCTAGACAGCAGTATAGCAACACGTGGTTGTGGCGGGTGTGAAAGGAAAACGTACCCAAAGAACTCTATGTAAAGGATTGAGCTTCTGCGAGAAGTACAACTCAGGAGAGCTGTATTTTGAAGGATCAAATGTTTATAGTGAAAAGAAAAAGGAGATTATTGTTGATGGTAAAAGTTATTTAGCGACTATGTCTGATATTCTAAGATTTTTTGCACACTCAGGCTGACTGAGACATCGGTAATCATCCTTCTGTGAAAATGTACAGAGATGCAGGTCTGTAATATAAACTCTTTAACACTATACAGTTCTTCCTGAATTGTTTTATTTCTGTATTTTTGATTTGTTGAAAACCCATACCACTGAATTGTTTACCAAATGCACTAGAAGTTTGGGTTTATTTTTGGGGGGTTGTGGTTTATTTCTCTGGTTTCGTTGTAGCCCAGCAGTTAGTGTTGCTGACTTTGGTCAAGAGCAGAGGTAGAAGTACCACGACTGACTGAACTACCTGTAATATACTTGTTTTAGGGCTTCTCAGTATAACGAGCCATCAAAACGATGATCCTTCGAGGAGAGGAACTTGAATCACTGCAAACAAGTCTAGGTTGTGTCTGCTGTCACATGTTTTTTTGTTTGATGTAGATTTCACTCAGATGTACAGAATTTAATGTTGAATATATTCGAGTAACAAATCGGGCATGGTTGGGGGATGGTTAAATTTATTGGAAATGTATTCATACTGTGAATTGTGCTCTGATGGTTAAAAGACGAGATTGTCAAGCATTCTGTATTACAATGGATGTAGAAATTTTTTTCAGATGGACAAAATGTATATGGTACAGATATGTAAAGTTTTCTATGTAAAAAAAATTCTGTACAACTTTCTGTACAATATTTGGTTCTCATCTGGCATACTCTAATCGGGTTATAGGTCAATAAAGTTTTTGAACTCTTTCATCAGTGCAATCAAAACCAGCCTAAGCAACAGCACTTGTTTTATACCTTCCTTTGCCACGGATCCATGACTTGGAACTGAGGGAGAGGAACAGAGCAGGCAGCAGCAGGGTGCTGGAAGGCAGAGCTGGAAGCAGCTGAGTGCAGGAGCTGGGGAAAAGCCACTGACAGGAATTAAAGGGCCTGACCTCTGTGTAGTTTGCACTCATAAAACATTATGACTTTCTGGGGTGTAGCAAAAAGAGCACTGCCTACTGAGCTCTTAGGAAAGATTTGGAGAATCCTTTTTGAAGAACCAACAGCATTCAAATGCAAACAGCATGGTGGGGGCCAAGGGGGGTAACCGTAAGCGAGAGGGAATGGGGTTGTGCTAAAAGCTGTGGACACTGCTGAAGAGCAGAGCTTCTGCTCAGCTCTCGCTCCATGGGTTGTTCCTGCTTTGAAGAGGGCCTTGGCACTCCGCTTCCTTCATGAGAAGGGAAGTGACAGCAACTGCAGCACTAATGCTACTTCAGCCTGCTTTCAGATTTTTAGTAACAAAATAATTTATTATCACCTGAATCAGAAACATAAATATATACTCCAACACAAACCAAGTTAGGAAGGTAAGATATACTGCTAACAGACCTTCTTCCATGTAACTGCTCACCTCCTCAGCACCACAGCCCCCATTCAGCACTGGGAAGTGGCCTCCTCCAGGCTGTTCATCCTTTTGGGAAAAGCTCAAACTGCATCTCTGCTGTTGTGCCTCTGTTTGCAAACAGTCCTGGAGTTTTGCTATGAGCAAAGGTAAAATGTAACTCTGATTTAATATCAAATTCCCACACACGCTGTTCCTTGCAAATTCGCCTCCAAGGCTGAAACTAACTTGTATAAAAAGTGCAAAAAATGCCAAAATACTTCACTGCCCCACTTCCACCACCCTGTAGTACAGAATCCCCACTGCACTGCAGCTTCCATTTCTTCATTATTGCTACTTGTAATTGCACACAGAGCTCCACGCTATTCACATCCAGTACAGCTATCCCTATGAGAGACTCTAAAAGTGCAGTAGTGCCAAACAGGACGCTCCCTTCCCTTGCTGCAAGGCACATGTGGGTTCCATTCAGGCTGTGCTCAGCCGTGTGCAGTGGAGAGGCCCTGCCAGCCCAGCGGCAGCGTGCCCTCAGAAGACAGCTTTGCTGGGCTCTGCTGCTCCGTCAGGAACCTGTGGAGCGTTGCTGCCGTTCCCGGCCGCAGCCAGGGCTCTGTGGCAATGGAGTCAACAGAACTGGGCGGGCGGCTGTCCTTGGATGGAGGAGGCTTCAGCAAGTCATCTGCTTCTCCTAGGGCAACATCCTCACCTGTGGGGAGAGGAACAACACAAGCGTGCTGAAGGAGAATCATAACATGGCCTGGGTTGAAAAGGACCACAATGATCATCTAGTATCAGCCCCCCTGCTGTGTGCAGGGTCACCAACCACCAGACCAGGCTGCCCAGAGCCACATCCAGCCTGGCCTTGAATGCCTCCAGGATGGGGCATCCACAACCTCCTTGGTTCCAGTGCCTGTTCCAGTGCGTCACCACCTCTGTGTGAAAAACTTCCTCCCGAAGAGACATCATCATCCCTACACCAATCATGCTGACTTGTCTGGACTAAGCAGGAACAAAAGCAAGAAAGAATTGCTGTTTTTAAGACTCATTTCAGATGTTATGCAGGTCAGGGCCCACTGCAGGTACATCCCCACAGGCCTTCCATGCCCAATGCCAACAGCCTCTCCTGGGCCACACCAACACAGGGCTGATGTGGGCAGACCCCACTGTGCCTGCCCAGCTGCTCACCCCAAGCCTCTTGGCACAAAGGCATATCTCGTGTACCAGTGCACACACGCAGGGAAGAATGAAGCCACTGAGTGACAGCATTATGGCTGAGCACGCTCAGTGAGACACTCTGTTCACACCCAAGAAATAAACAGTTTAGCACTGGTAAGCAGGGCAAATGCAATTACCTGCACAGATGGCACCGTAGGAACCGTAATGCAATGTCGTTCCAAGAAGTGGGCTTGTTGAGCCTGCTGCCACCAATTGCTTCCCTTCAGAACATGGGTCCACTACCACTCTGAAGGCTATTATTACTGGTTTTGCAGGTCAGCCATAGATACAGACCTTATATCTTAGGCACAGTACAGCACAGAATATCAGTGATTCTTTTTTATAACTATTATCATATAGGAATATGAAGAAGACATACAGCACTTATTTTCATTGCTCCTGTCTCGAGAGACAGTAGTACTTAAATTTGGGCAGATGCAGCCTCTGTTCTTATTTACCTCCTCCAGCAGCTGGAAGTACGAATGGTTACAAAGAAGAGATGACAGAAAATGAGGGAAGAGAGCAAAAGAAGCTCACAGGGCAAAAGTGGACTAATTTGGATGGACTGAAATCAGCAAACCCATTTGTTTGGATTACAGAAGGAAAAAAAACCCTACCTCCATATTCACTAAAAATCTGAGCAAGGTGGTTATAACAAACAAAAAACATCGCAAGAGAACCCATAGCTACAGAAACAGAAAACCTGTCAGCAGCTGTAATCTCATTCATCTCACACTCTCACAGTGCTTATAAAAAAGGTACTGACACTGTAATTACCAGACAGCACAGCGACTGCCTCAATGAAAAAAAGACTTCTGTCTTACATGAAAGAATTCATTAGCACAAATCACATCGCATGAAAAATGAAAGGCCGGGCCTCCCACCAACAACAGTCAGGGTTCGCTCTCTTTCCCTCAGCATCGCCACCGTGCTGCTGTAACCCACACAGCACCCTGCAGTATGAGCAGTGGTACGGATGGGACAAGCAGCAGAGCGTGACGAGGCAGCACTCAGAGCATCTTGTCCCACTGTGCTCTTCTAAGCTTCATCTACAACATGCTGCTTGAAGCTTGTTGGAAGCCTCTCACAACGGTTACCGACCTCGGTAAGTAATTTCTATTGGAGCCAGGCACTCCCTGCTCAGCTACAGGCAGTGTATGAACAAGTTCCTTTGACTGCTGTACCTATCTAGAGATGACACAGTAAATCCTAGCACACGGGCATACCTAAGTGAGCAGATCTCTGCTGGAGCTCGGTCAGCCTGCGCACTCGTTCTTCGTTTTTGCCTTTCATCTGATCAACATCCAGGCTGAAGTCGGAGTGCAAAGACACACTGTCAGGCTGCAGCATCGGTGTCTGGGCTGGTGGGACATCTTCCTGCAGCAAATGAAAAACACAGAAATCCTGCAGTTACATAGCTGTCCCGGTTTGGCTGGGACAGAGTTAATTTCCTTCATAGCTGCTGAGGCAGTGCCACGTTTCAGATTCAGGAAGAAAACAATGTTGATAGCACATTGGTGTTTTAGTTATTGCAGAGCAGTGCTTACATCAAGTCAAGGACTCTTCAGCTTCTCACACCACCCTGCCGGCAAGGAGCTGGGGGTGCAGCAGCTGCTGGGAAGGAACATAAGCAGGACAGCTGACCTAACTGGCCAGAGAGCTATCTCATGTGACAAAACACAGGCAACGGTAGAACCAGAGGAGCTGGCAGAGGGGCTGCTGCTGCTTGGGGACTGTCTGGGTACAGCTGGCTGCTGGTGAGCCATTGCATTGTGCATCGCTTTTGTTTTATTCATTCTTTTCTTCATTTTGCTTATTCTTTTTTTCCTTCTTATTAAACTGTCCTTACCTCAGCCCGTGAGTTCTCACACTTATTTTTTTAACCTTTCCCCAATTCTCTCCCCCAGCTCCCCTGGAGGAGTGCAAAACGACGGTGTGGTACTGAGCTGCTGCTGCATTACACCACTGCGTTCCTTTTGGTGCCCAACACGGGCCGCGGGCTGAGACAGCAACAGATCTGACCACAGCGTGTTAGAGAGAACACGTTTGCTTGTATTTTTTCATAATTATCACATTATTTTAATAGTTGCTGTCCACAATGTTCATTTGTTGGCTCACAGAGTTGTTCTGGTTCCTCTCAAAGCTGCTTTGGTTGTTGTCAGGGCTGCTTTGGCTGCTCTCAGGGCTGCTTGGGCTGCTCTCAGGGCTGCTTGGTGCAATTCCTTTCTTGCTGTACTTGCTCCCCGTTTTGCTGTTTATCAGCGCAGAGGGCTGGTTAAAGATTGCTTTGGGTCTTCTCACTCTGCTGTACTGCATAACACTCACAAAGTGATGAAAGCATAATCTACTGCTGCACTCAGCATTGCTGCCATCCTTGTTCTTTGGAAACTATCAGCAATTACACTTCTTACCTTTTCTTCTCTGAGAGTCAACCCTTCTCCTCCTGGTCAATTAGAAGAATGCTTAAGATTTGTGTATACCTTTGGGATACCCAAACCAGCACGTTGTTATTGCTGTGTCTCCTGAGCACGTTTCAGGTTTCGTTCTAAGGCTAAACAATTATTTGAGACCACCACCCAGAGCTCTGCCCCAAGGCAAGACAGCTGCAAAGGCATGAGCAGGCACCCAGAACACAGGGCACCTCCAATGCATTGAAACTTCACTCTAAACAAGTGCAGAGATATGAAAAAAGTGATTGAAAAAAGTTACACCATCACCTGGCAGCTCCAAAGAGACACAAATCACTGCAGCATGCCGGGGTTTGACCTTCCTAGCCTCATTTGACCCCAGTCACCACCTTCAAGAGGAAGAGACAGCCTCTGGATCTAACAGCAACAGACCCACAACAACACTGTGGATAATCCAACCCCTGCAACGGACACCATGGCTGAACTGTCACAGGTATCCAAGAAGAAAGAATGGGAGCAGAAGTCAGCTCACTCAGTAAGGGAAGAAGCAGCTTCTCCTAAACAGAGAGCAGGAGAAAGCATCAGAAGAAGCAAATTGCCACAAAGCATTCATAAGAACAGGAGGTGGATGCGACAGAACTCATAAACAAGACAAAAACCTTCTGATCCCTGCCCCTGGGTGAGCTGAGACATACACTAAGATTCCAGGATGAACCCATCTGGGTCACCGCAGTGTGGCATGATATTGCTGCCCAGGTAGAGAACACGGTGGTAACAGCACAACGTGTAGATGCCCACCTACCCAAGAGTCTTCACACACTGAAGAACACCAGAACCACCAACAGGCAGAGCAGGCTGCTAGGATTGAAGTGACTCAGGTAGATCTTGACTGGCAGTGTAAAGGTGAATTATGACTATGGCCATGACGCTTCAGGCCATCAAGAAAGAGGAGCAACATACAGATGGGATAAGAATCAAGGGGTGGATTTGACCACAGACACTGTTGCACAGGTTATCCACAGATGTGAAATATGCTGGAGTTAAGCAAGCCAAGCAAGCCTCTTTGTACGGAGGGCAATGGCTGAAACATAAATACAGGGAGGCCTGGCAGGCGGATTCTATCACCTTCTCACTCACAATAATGGCAAGTGCCATATACTTGCAATGGTGGAAGCAAACACTGGATGGCTGGAAATGTATTTCGTGCTCCACACCACCACCCAAAATATCATCCTGGGCCTTAAAAAGCAGGTCTTACGGTGACATGGCACTCCAGAAGGAACTGAGTCAGACAATGGGACTCATTTCTGAAACAACCCCATAAACACCTGGGCCAAGGAGCACAGCACTGAGTGAGTACATCACATTCCCCACCATGCACCAGCCTCTGGAAAATGGAATGATACAATGGACTGTTAAAAACTACATTGAGAGCAATGGGTGCTGGGATATTCAAACACTGGGGCACACGTTTAACAAAAGTCACCTGGTTAATCAACATTCAGAGATCTGCCAGTCAAGCTGGCCCTGCCCAGAAAAAACTCTTATGCTCTGTAGAAGGAGATAAAGTCCCTGTAGAGCCCTGTGTGTAGGGCACCACAGTATGGGTTAGTCCTGCCTCAAGCAAAGGCAAACCCATGCATAAGGCTGCTTTTTCTCAAGGACCTGGGTGCACTTGGGGGGTAATGCATAAAGATGAGGAAGTCTGCTGTGTACCTCCAGCCAATAATTTGTGTCCAGTTCTGAGCTCCTTGGTTCAAAGACAGGGATCGCCTAGAAAGGAGTCCAGTGGAGGGCCAAAAAGATGATTAAGGGCCTGGAACATCTCCCTTATGAGGAAAAGCTAAGTAAGCTGGATCTGTTCAGCATGGGGAAAAGAAGACTGAGAGGGGGATCTGATAAATGTTTATAACTATCTAAAGAGAGGTGGGAGGCAAAGGGATGAGGCCAGGCTCTTCTCACTAGTGTATAGCAATAGAACAATGGAACCTGGCTTGGCTTCAGCATGCAACAATTCAACACCACACACCATCTCTCCAGCCCTGAATGACTGCTGTGACAGATGGAGCTCAAGGTCGTGGACTAAATAAGCTCAATGGACATTTTAAAGAGATAATCCACAGAAAAAGAGCAATGAGATCTGTACGTTTGTATCAAAGGATGGCAAGGGTGCTGGTGAGGACATATTGGAAAGAGTAAGACCTGAGCATGAGTTAGATGGTGTGGAATGAGGGGTAGTTATTATGCTGGTTTGGGCTAAAATAAAATTAATTTCCTTCCTTCTAGCTGGTATGGGGCTACCTTTTAGATCTGGGAGGAAAATGTTGACAGCACAATGAGGTTTTAGTTATTGCTGAGCAGCGCGTGTGCTGAAGCAGGCACTCTTCTGCTTTTCACACTGCCCACCCCAGCTGGGATTGGGCAGGGAGCTGGGAGGGGACAGAACCAAGACAGCTGACCCAGACCAACAAAACAGATTCTAGTCTACATGCTGCCATGTTGAAACTGGGGGAGTTGGCCAGAAAGCTGCCATTCCTCAGGGAATGGTGGGGCATCAGTTGGCCAGCAGTGAACAACTGTGTTGTGCATCACTTCTTGTGTTGTTTTGGATTTGTGGGGTAGGGGTTTTCTTGTACTTTATTTTTTCCTCTTTCTTATTAAACTGCCATTATCTCAACCCAGGAGTTTGCGCACTTTTTCCAATTCTCTCCCCTAACCCACCTGGTGGGAGCGAGCAAACAGCTCTATCATGCTCAGCTGCTTGCCAGGTTAAACCACAACAACAGCATACTTTCAAAAAGGGCAACTAGCCATTCATGTACACCCTCTGTATCCATGTCATCCAGCCACTAAGGAACCACAAGCACTGTCCAACAACGACAGGTTTGTGTCCTGTCTTCATATTTAAGTCAATCTGGTTACCATACTTACAGTGCACTCCAGTGCTTTCTTCTTTATTCGTCTCCTCTCCCTTGCAGAAAGTGGAAGCTGTGATGATAGGTCAATTTCTTCTAAGGCAGAAAAAGTTTCTCCATTAGCACCTGCAAAATCATAGAATCATAGAATCACAAGGTTGGAAACGACCTATAAGATCATCTAGTCCAACCATCTCCTCTTCTCCATTGCCACCACAAGCACTAAACCATTTCACACAGCACGTCATCCAGACGCCTCTTGAACACTGCCTGACCACTCTCTAAGAGAAAAAGTTCTTCCTTATGTCCAATCTAAACCTCCTCAGATACAACTTGCGGCCATTACCCCGTGTCCCCAGCTCCCTCAGCCGCTCCTCATAAGGTTTGTGCTCCAGACCCCTCACCAGTTTTGTTGCCCTTCTCTGGACACACCCCAGGACCTCAACATCTTTCCTGTAGTGAGGAGCCCAAAACTGAACACAGTACTCAAGGTGTGGCCTCACCTCGAGTAGAGGGGCTGAGTAGAGAGGGATGATCACCTCCCTGCTCCTGCTGGCCATACTGTTTCTAATGCAGGCCAGGATGCCGTTGGCCCTCTTGGCCACCTGGGCACACTGCCTGCTCATGTTCAGCTGAGCATCAACCAACACCCCCAGGTCCTTCTCTTCTTCACACTCATCCAGCCGCTCATCCCCAAGCCTGTAACGCTGCATGGGGTTGTTGTGCCCAAAGTGCAGGACCCGGCACTTGGCCTTGTTGAACCTCACCCCATTCACCTCAGCCCAGTGGTCCAGCCTGTCTAAATCCCTCTGAAGGGCCTCCCTACTCTCAGGCAGATCGACACCACCTCCCAGCTTGGTGTCATCTGCAAACTTACTGAGGGTGCACTCAATGCCCTCATCGAGGTCATCAATAAAGATACTAAACAAGATGGGCTCCAGTACTGACCCCTGGGGGACACCACTTGAAACAGGTCGCCAGCTGGACTTCACTCCATTCACCACGACCCGCTGGGCATGGCCTTGTAGCCAGTTCCTTACCCAAAGAAGTGTATATCTGTTCAGACCACGGGCAGCCAGTTTCCCCAGAAGAAGCCTGTGAGGGACCATGTGAAAGGCTTTGCTGAAGTCTAGGCAGACTATATCAACAGCCCTTCCCTCATCTGTCAGACTGGTCATCCAGCATAGGAGGAGATGAGGTTGGTCAAACACAACCTGCCTTTCACGAACCCGTGCTGGCTGGGCCTGATCCCCTGGACACCATGCACATGCTGTGCAGTGTCATCCAAGATGATTTGCTCCATAACTTTCCCTGGTACTGAGGTCAGGCTAACAGGCCTATAGTTCCCCAGATCCTCCTTACGGCCTTTCTTGAAGATGGGAGTCACATCAGCAAGCCTCCAATCCTCTGGGACCTCACCAGTTAACAAGGAGCACTGATAGATGGCCAAGAGGGGCTCAGCAATCACCTCTGCCAGCTCCCTCAGCACTCGAGGGTGCAGCCCATCTGGTCCCATGGACTTGTGACAGTCCAGATGGAGGAGGAGCTCTCTGACTGCCTCCACCTGAATTGCTGGGGGCATTTTCTGAGCAGCATCCCAGACTTCCAGATCGAGGCATAAAAAGCCCAGAGGATAACTGATCTGGCTGTTAAAGGCAGATGTAAAGAAGGCATTGAGAACCTCAGCCTTTTCCTTGTCCTCAGTGGCCACATTCGCTGCATTCCAAAAGAGGGGATACAGTTCATAGAGGACAGAGAGCCAAAGCCTCATCTTATCAAGGCATATTAAATGTAAACATGCAGCATTTGGCTCAGGTAGCCTCAGAGCTCTGTGTCACTGGGGGTTGAAGAGCACCTGCAGGGCAGCAACAGCTGCCCTCCTGCTCACATCTCTCCACAGGCACCCATCTTGACCAAAATTACAGGCAAGCTATTTGGCCAGATTCTAGACTGATGCACTCACTTCATCTAAGACCATTGAGCATCTTTCTTTTCATCATCTGAACAGTAAATAATAAATAGGATTTCCTAATTCGAAGAATGTAAGACTACAGAAAGCACCAAATGCATTGAACAAGGCTGAAAGCAACACCCTGTGCCCCTCCTAATGTCAGGTTCACCAGGATCCATATGTTAATAGAGTAAGTCCAAATATATTTCAAATTAAAAAAAAAGTTTTTAAGCAAAGCCAGATGTGATTATAATCAGTATGTGGAAAAATACTGAGTTTCATTAAAAAGTACTGCATCTTCCCCATAGCAGAGAATAAAAACCGTATAAGATTACTTCCCTTAGATGATAAAGAGAATTTCAAGGAACTGTAATGCCTACTAATGGAAAATTAACACTTTAGAGACCTGTGCTGGTTGGTTTTCGGTTTTGTTTCATTTCTGGCTTTTATTAGAAATAAAAATAAACGAATAAAGCTCCCCAGCAAGGCGACATCCCAGAGAGAGCATTACACAGAAAGATGCCTTCTCACAAAAAGACATAAAGCAGCCTAAGGCTCTTAGCAGAGTTGTTGACTTTAGGTGTGATCCATGCAAGTTTACTGCAGTACAATTCCATAAAGATCTGCATTTGTACTGATGGCATAATTTACTTTATCACTTTAAAAAAAAAAATAATCACAGTTGCTATACCCACAGCAGCTTCTGAAACAGCAATAACCTGTTCAGAAAAGTATCACTATGCTAAAAGGTACATTTGTGCACTCCTCATGTGCTAAAAGAGAGAAACTCACCAATAAAAGCACTGTCGGATTCCAACAGCAAATTTTTCAAGGATTCGTGGGAGTCATTCCTGAACTGCAAAGGGGAAGCAGAAGACTTGCAAAGTCAGATGCCTCAATATCTATTACCTAATTATAAATAACGTACATTTAACATCTGCTGAAGCTCTGCAAAGGAAACAGCAGCTATGCAGTGTTTTGCACTATTCTATACTTCACAGCTGCAAAAAAGTGCATCTTTTCAAATAGCTCATGTTCTCCTTACGCAGTAGTTTTTGGACTTCTCTGTTGCAGCACCATTTGCTGAAATTGTCTGCACGTGGCAATGGTTGTGGCAGTCTGTGTAAGCCACCATATCCATCAAGGGGTGCATAACAGTCACCACCTGAGCTTTACACCACAGGACAAAGCCGGCAGCAGGCCTGCACCCAAGGTTTGTCCAAAGCTCTGATCAAAAGAGGGAAGACTCCTCATATTTTTGCTTATCCCACCACATGCAATCTGTGGTATTAAAGCACCAAATATCTTCCTAATAATAACAAGCATTAAGATCATTGCTTACAGTTCACTGCATAGTTGCAACCATTTGCAGCAGAAATTCAACTTGAAAATCACTACAAAAATCAAAGCAGTGGAAACTATTTGAGGAAACAAGGGGAAACAAACTTTTTACTGCAAACCACTGCTCTGGAGAAGAATTTCAGGTATTAATTTACAACTCTAACATGCATTGAGGTGATGTATATTTTCCATTTGCTCAGTAATATTTCGTTTCTGCATGAAGTTATAGTGTTATCCTTGAGGCTAACGGCTGTTCCTTGCAGTCTTCCACCATATATGGGCCCACACTCCCACAAAACACCACTGAAGTCTGCTGTTCTGCAGTTAGGTTAGTGAAAAAAAATAAAAACCCAATTCTGATAGCACTCCATTTGGCTTTATTTACACCAGAAAATAAACTTCTCCTTTGAGACAGTGTGCATCACTCAAGTCACGTGGATTCAGAGCTACTGCTGCTGGCTCAGCTGCTTCCACTAATTCACACTCCCAGCAGCAATCTAACATCGTATGAATATAAAGTAAGTATTGATGAATATTAAAAAAGGAAGCTAATGAATCAAACAATCTCTATATACAAAAATAAACAACTTCCACGTCAAGCTTAAGAACCTGTTAATCATTCTATTAAGCAATAGCATTAAAGAAGCTCACTATCTTGGCTGTAATTCTTTCCTCCAAATTCTGTACAAGCCACACAATTTAATAAGCATTAAGCATTTCTTGTGCTTGAAAAAAGCACAGTATTACTTTTTTTTTTTTTTTTTTTTTTTTTTTTTTAAAACCTGTTTTGTTCTTACCAGTCCCATGGTTTGTGGGTTGTAGCCAGAAGGAGAATCATCTTCATCCATGAGAACCACATAGAGAAAAGATCAAATAATTACAGTGTCATAAGAAAAGAGATAACACTGACACACGACGTGCTGACAAAACTTCTGCTACTACATGGAAGAGAAAAACCACTGTCAATTACTACAACTTCCTTTAAAATTGTATACATTTTAACCGAACACCTGAAAACTCCGAAGATCAGTAAAGTGTCTGAATGCCAACATAAGTATTACCAGAAAAATCAAACAGGAGTCAATAGCATATTATTTCTGAGAATACTAGGGTTCTCACTTGAGGGTTCTCAAGTGCACACACTTCTGAAGGGCTGGATATATCAGAAAGACCTCAATTTGTGAGATGGTTTACCATGGGTGTCCAACTTCTTAGCTTGCCTGAGCAATTGCCTTGGGCCACATTCAAAACATATCATATAGTTAAGGTACTTAAGGATCAAAGATTTTTAAAACATTTTTTATTAAAAGATTTTTCTTCTTAAAAGAGAGCAACAAAAAACTACCGGGTTGGACATGTGTAGTTTTAAACATCAAATCAACCCATGAGAGCACAAAAGGTTGCTGCACGAATACCTGGGTTTCTCTTTTACCCTCCCCAGTTTCACCAGTTGAGACCTTAACATCTTTACACATTATTTGAAATACTGTATCTGACAAGACATTTAGGTACACAGCTAGAAAGAAGTTTGTTTTGGGACACCCTCTGCACACTGCTGAACCCCAGTGAAACTAGGACATGGTAATGAGAAAACACACCAGCTTAAATAACTGCAGATGAGACAGCAATTAAACAGCCATAAACAGGAGCAGAGAAAGTCTGCACCAACATGCAAAGGAACTTCTTCACAGTGAGGGTGACAGAGCACTGGAACAGGCTGCCCAGGGAGGCTCCAGATTCTCCTTCTCTGGAGATATTCAAGACCCACCTGGACTCCTACGTGTGCAGCCTGCTGTAGGGGGCTTTGCAGGTGGACTGGACCTGATGACCTCTAGAGGTCCCCTCCAGCCCCTATGATTCTGTGAATCTGAACTTTCCAAGCTATACGTGAGAACCTGAAAGTATATGGCCTTCCTATTATAAGATTATACTGCCTTTTCTAGTGTATTTTTCTTTTCTTATCTTCATCTTCACAGGTATTCTGTACATTTCATTTGCTTTTCTTTTATTAAATATATTTGTGAATTAAGAAGAAAAAAAGAGTGTAAACTACACTATTTATCATCCCAGAAGTAGCTGCTAGCAGTCCTATGGACAGCCACAGAATCATAGAATGGCTTGGGCTGGAAGGGACACCAACAATCACCAGCCTCCAAACCCTTCTGTTGCAGGCAGAGCCAACCACCTTCAGATCTGGTACTAGACCAGGCTGCCCTGGGTCCCAACCAACTTGGGCTTGAACACCTCCAGGAATAGAGCACCCACAACCTCTCTGGGCAGCTTGTTCCAGCACCTCACCACTCTCTCTGTAAAGAACTTCCTCCTGATATCCAATCTAAACCTTCCCTCCTTGAGCTTGAAAACATTTTGCCTTGACCTATCACTGTTACCCTTGTAAAAAGTTGATTTCCTTCCTGTTTATAATCCCCTTTTTAAATACTGGAAGGCTGCAATGAGGTCTCCCCACAGCCTTCTCTACAAATATTTGTTTTAAGCTGGTAAGGCAATGCACACTATCATACAGTATGATGAAACAGGAAAGCCTTTGCCACAACAGCCTGTAACACGGCCTCTTATCCACAATACATATTGCTTTAATTCATCTTCCTGTCTGCCTCATATCAGACAATAAAACTGCTCATCGATTTTCACTGAGGGGAAGAAGATGAACTTGTCTCTGAGGAAAATGAACTGGAAATACAGAGATAACATGGTAACTAATTATCTAGCTCAGTACGTGCTGACAGGCTATAAATGATGTTGTAAAGCAGTAAATGGGATTGAGAGAGAGAAAAGGCTGCTTGAGGATCCTCTGTAAGATTCAGTGGAAAGTTATTTTAGAAATTAGCTCCTTGTGTTCCAGCAGAAAATGCCTGCTGCTAGTTTGCCTCCACATAAGACTGCAGTATCCATTCAGCATTAGCTTACATCTAATACAACCACTCAGCCTTAAAACTAATGAAAAAAGGTAAGTTTGCTTTCCAGCTAGTGGAGGTTGCTCTCCAGGCAACATTAAATCAGAGCCTTCTCAGACTGCCTGTTAAGTAATACTCCAATGGGAAGAAAACCAAAACCAGAAACACACAGTTCTCCACTGAAACTACTGACCTCTTTTACACAATTTCAGTCCACCCCAGAAAGGGCAAAACTAAACGCAACCCTGCACACCCAATTTTGACATTATGTGATATTTAAAATCTTGTAATCAGCCCAGAAGATGTTACAGAGATGCTGATTTGTAACTGCCATGTTATATTATTCATAAGCAATACTGCCCACCTTGCTAGAACACCAAAACATCCACCCATTCTGGAGTTGCTAGCAAGTTGCAAAATCTTACACATGATTTCTAAAGCAAAGTCTGTTCTAGGATACAGATTTCTGAATCTGTGAAACATTCAAACCATGACTACAAACATAAAAGGAATTTAGTACTAAGAGATAAAAGTAGAAGAAGACACATTGGCTGCACTATAACTGATACAGCTTCAAAGCCATCTCCTCCAGCGAGAACTGAAAAGGTGCTGGGAGGGACTTACTGCTAACACCTCCACCAGGTATCAGCTGAAGATTTTTACTGCTCTATGATTTTCTTTAACAGAAAGTAAGAAACCTAATTCTCTCCTGCATTGTTCTGAAGCAAGCACGAAGCAGTAATTAAATTCCTTTCAGGGAAATAAGGAGAAATAGTCACACTAATTTTTAAAAGAAGACATTCAATACTTCTGTGCTTTTTAATGTGACAGAATTCAGTGTTCTGGTGAACAGAAGTGCTTTACACTTCTGTGCTGCAGTGCTGACAGGGAACATCAAGGTAAAATCAGAGCTGCCATTTTTTAAAAACCTTCATCAATACAAAAGCAATAGACAAAGCCACTAAAATTATCTCGGTCCATTCATTCCTTACCTTCTGCTTCTCTCCTCATTCTCATTCTGTCAAGTTTCTTCTGCTGCTCTCTCAACAGAGCCTGCTGTTGAATTTCTAGAGTCTGGTCATCTTTTGGAGGATCAGGATACATTTGCCTTAAGCCTACACGTGTTTCAGAATCTAGAACAAAGATAGGAAATAAGAATTTTACTTCAAACTAATGTTTCTGGAAAAGAAATTTTAAAGCAGTTACACATTCACAGTCAGAAGAAACATTAAAAAGAATGGTGACAATGGCATTCTATCTCCCAAGCTGTTTAGTAGCACACCTTTATGGCAGGCATAAGAGATGCAGGCTGATATACCCTCATTTTAAAGAGCTTGCACTCCTGTTTAACTTCAAAACGACATCTCCAGCCAGAAGGCCCTTACAGAGAAGAGCAATGCTTTCTCCCTCCAAAATCTAGAAGGCATTTTGGGGGGTGTCCATCGATCAAATTAGAAATGTTATGAGAACAGCTCAAATCATATAATTAAACAATTTATCAAATTAAAATCTTTCAAAGCATTCTTTGAATCAATATTCAACAGTTGACAAACATTTTGGAAAAGAAAAACATTTCTCCATCAAAATTACATGTATTCTTTAAAAGACCCCCATAAAATTTAGCAAGGTTCCCCATAAGGTATGTGCCAAGTGGTTGCACACTGATTCTGGCAGTGGTGCAGTACCTAACAACAAACTGTAGACATTTGTAGAAACACTCACACTAAGTGACATACATGCATGCAAAATGCTGCCCACAGAGCATGCTGCGCATAGGCAGTGGCTGAGAAGAAGCCAGTGTTCTTTGTTTTAAATCCTGAGTGACGTGGAAGATGGAGGAAAAGATGTTTCACAGACTTTCTTCCTCAGCAACAAGATCTCCCTACCTTTGTATTTAAGTTCATTAAAATCCCAGATGTTCTGCACGTTGACAGGATCTTGTGCATCCTTTGACGAAGGCCGCCTCACCGGAGCCTGCAGACGCAGCCTGGCCATCTCAAATATGTCCTTTGGATTCTTCTCTCTCCTCCCACTTGAAAAGTGGGTGAAACAAGCAAAACATCATTTCAAACCGCAATACTCATGAATTACATGAAAGCATAGTTTAATGCTAATAAAACTCACTTCTTATACTTAGACACTGAGCAACTGTTTATTTAAAGCTACTAATTTGAAAATAATCACACTGCATATCATGTAATGAGAAGAAATAATCTATTTGAAACAAAGAAAAAAGAACCTCTTACTTTAAGGAACAGAACTATGACTTCTGATCTGATGAGTCTTTTGCAACTAGTGGGTACAGTTACCTAGCAGAGTTTGGAAGCAAACCATGAAGTTTTAAATAAAAGGGTATGAATTTCTGTAAGGAAGAAAGTACTCCTACAGCATTGCTCTATTTAACAGATACTGCAGTCTCCAGACACAACTCACAGCCTTGGAGGGAAGGCATTGAGATAAAAACTTAGACATCAGTTTTAGACCAATAGACCAAATATTCTAACTACCAACATTATCAACACACTCATTCTTAGACTAAAATTTAGAAAGATTTCTGGAAAAAACAACCAGCCAACCACACACCAGAAAAATGAAAAAGGGTATGTGCAAGTTTAATGTCCACATCTTCATTTAACACATCATATTAGCCAACTGACACTTCTAATACACAGTAGCTCCAAGTTCCTGTATAAAAGCTGACTTCTAAAAAATGAAGACGAAATTCTCACCGTGTAACTGGTCCATCATCATCACTAGCCACATTTAGCAACTGTTCCTGCAGTCGCCTCTCTTCACTGCGAAGCTGTTTCCTCATCTCTGATAATTCATTTATCACATTCTTTCTTTCTTCTGTAATTTAACACCAATAAAGTGTTAGAGACACTTTTCTGCCTGCCTCGTAAATGCAAGGTGAAAAAAGTGACAATGCACTGTTAATTAAAGTGATCAGATATGCACAAGCATTTCATACTTTAGAAACCAGGGGAGAACTTGTATTTTAAGGCAGCAGAAGGATGAAATCACCAGAACAGCAAAAAGCATTCAAACTTCAACAGAAATGCTCTGCTGCATTTAAAAAAAGGAAAAGCTAAGAAGCAACTGGATGCTGACAGTAAGCAGCCTTATTCTGCAATTTGTAAATCTACACAGTTCTCCTGAGAGTTAGAAGACAGGAACTAAGGTGGTATCAACACATAAAACCCATTTCTGACTCCTAAATCCCTCTGGACAGTTCAAAAGAGAAATATCAATCTGCTTAGTGCCATCTCTTAAGTGTTAAGGAGTTCCAACTTCAACACTTATTTTTAGAGTGTGCTCATGCTGAATTTTCAGAACTACTGTTGGTCTCAGCTGCTGGGTTTTTGTAGTTAGGACAGCATTCCTCAAAAAGCATCAAGTTTCATAAATTCCTTGTTTTTCACATTACATACATTCTAGCAAACACCTTTTAGTTTGACTGCAGAATCTATCAGGCGAGCAAGTTTTACTAGTTTAAATGCTCCTACACGAGAGTTAACCCATATTTCTTCATTTCTCTCAATTTCCATGAGCTGCATTAAGAACCTCTTTCCTAGTGGAAGAGCTACAACAAACCCAGGTACTGACCACATTTGTAGGACAGCACTTACTGTTACGCTTCATGTGTTTTTGCAGTGAAGGCAGTACCTACCAAGTGCTCGCAACTGATTTCTTCTAGCTGGGACAGGTGGAGAAGGAGCTCTGGGTTGTGGAGGATCCTAATCATCAGAATGAACACAAAAAGTTAACACGTCATAGTAAGCAACTACACCAGCCATAGCAGCCTTTCATTTCCTTACTTGATGTCCAACTTATTAACTACCACTACTACCAGAAAAAAAACAGTAACCTAGCAAGTCATTAATGCATAGGGCTTTTTTGTTTGTTTGCTTTTTAAATCTGATCTTTTAAATGCATTAAGCAAGTTATAGCAATATGAACTGTAACACACTCAGAGATCTGACCACAGCTGTGCTATGTGCTGGAAGGACATACAGATAAACAAACAAATTGGTTTTAGACAAGGTTTAAAGTCTTAAAACATCTTCTGAAACTGCACTATATTTTGCCAAATTATCACTTCCTGGTAAACCCATTTAAAAAAAACTTATAGTCCAATTCATTCCTACATACATAGTAAAAACAGTTTCCAATAAAATGTCAGAAATGTAGCTCAAGATTCACAATTATTTAATCTATTCTACTCATTACAGGAGGAATTTTAAAAAATACAGAAGGTGAAGTGTAGCAGCAAACTTTTTGTACCTTCAGGAATACAAAACAATGCCCACAATGAGGTTACAAGTCTGAGCTAAGTTCTTTTCTTAGTGAACATTCTGGATTACTGGATTCACAAGCCAGAACCCAGCAACAAACTGAACGTGAGGAAAAAAAACCTCAGCTGCTTATCTCTACCCTTTGCCATCACTGTAACCCTCCTTTGGAGGCTCTCTAATATCTTTATAACCTTCTGTCGTGGTGCCATGCATTCAGTGCTCATGGCAAGGCCACAAAGCACAGAGCAGAGTGGGACAATTCATTCCTTCAACCAGCTGACAAGGATCCTTAGATCTCTGGAAAGATGAACAGAGCATTTACTCTGAAAAACAAGAGGCTCTTCACTACAGAAAGCACACAATGTGCAGAAAAAAATTAAAATAAGACACCCCAAACAATTCTTATGTTCTCAATAACATTAAGCTTTACAGCCATTAAATAACAATAAAGACCATCTCTAGTTATTCACTGTGTTCCAGTGAACAAATGGGCAAAGAGGAAAAACTGAGTAGGATTTCACACGCTGCGCTGACTTGAATATAGGTAAGTAGAATGACAAAATATCCTGAGTTGGAAGGAACCCACAAGAATCATCAAGTGCAAGATGACTAGAAAAATCCTACTTGTGAGTAGTAAGATACATGGCTTTCAGCTGATGGAATCCTCTCTTCTTTTCTTATTGACTTGTTCTGAAGAGCAGGAATGACAGGAGAAGGTTTCCTCGAGAACTGTAAGGAGTAAAGAAAGACTGGAACTACTTTCCTAAAGGCTCTAAAATATACATATATTATACACATGAAGAGTTTTGTTAACATGCTTCATTTGACAGTAAAATGCTTTTATTTATCGTTAATTGAAGCATTTTTATACTTAATATTAACTTTAACTCTTAACCCCATAAAATGATTGCAAAAATAATTTCATGTGATTTTATTTACTACATGTAGAAGTTTTAATATGTGTTTCTGTGTTGCATGCCTTTTTCAGTTACAGTTGTTACTTTTTTAATTTTTCTTATTTTATTTATTATTATTATTATTTTTTTTTTTTTTTTTAAACTCCAGCCAATTCCATTGTATTTGTTTTGGGGAAATGCTTTGTAGAAACACGGAAGAGAAACAGTTCTGTAATTTATATTGCCTATTACAACTTCGTAATGGACTTCTCATCCAGGTCAAAGGAAAATAATTAAATTATAAAAAGCCTCTTTGCTGAAGATAAACTGTCCTTCAGTCCCCTAAAATATTTAATAACTTCTCTTTGTGTTTGGTCCTCAGCAAAAGCAGGCTAAAGTTCCTCATAGCAGATTTAAAAAAAAAAAAACAAAAAACAGAGTGCAGCTTACTAATATGGACATTGCTCTATAGTACTTTCAAATGAAACTTTATCAGCAAGATAAGGCTCCACTGTACTGTGTCTGATATTTTCCCATCAGCTGTACTGCACCTGCTAAGTGTACTGGAGCTGAGGAGGCCAAGAAGGGAGCAATACTGGCAGAGGTTTCTGAAATCATACTCTCTTTTCAAAGCATTTATTCTTGTAAATTAGGAAGTATTTGGTATCTTAGAAAGTAACTGAAGCATTACCATTTTCTTTTCCTCTTCTATCTTGGCATCTTTTTCCTTCTCAAAATACTGTCTAAGTTGTTCATCTCGCTTTTCTTCTTTTTCTTTCCTTCTTTTTTCTGCCTCTTTTTGTCTTTCTTCATCTAATCGAATAATTTCTCTGTTTTTTAACCTTCGCTGTAATAAAAACATTATCAGTACCTTCAAAAAGATTCAACAGTTTTAAGGTTTTGCTTTTTTTTCCTTGGAGAAATTAGAACTCAAATAAGCTGTTAGTATGAAATATGAAAGTATATTCCAAAACATTCAAATTCAAATCCAAAACAGTGTCATGAAGATAGAGCAGTCCTGGCTCTACAAACATTTAACAGAATTTCTCATAACTTCAATACACATCAGTTTTTGTCCCCACATCCACGTCAGCCAGCCAAATTGTAGGCCACCACTTCTAAAAGAAGCACGACATGATAGCAGTGCCCACAGAGAAAGGTCACAGCTTTAATCTTCCTATGAAAACCAGTTGCTTCCTATGCTACCCATGCCCCATTCTCTTATCCAGAAAACCCATCCAACTAAACTGTGCATGAAGAACATAAAGTTTTAGAAATCCCAAACTACACCTTCCCATGTAATGTTTCCTAATCACAAAAGGTACTGAAAGATTTTCCCAGATCTGATGGCCCTATGTCCTTGTCTCAGAGTTATTTATGAGACTTTGAATTACACAAAATCATTCAATTTTCCACATCTGATCGATAAAGTTTGAGTTTGAATTAAATCACAAGTTCACCTTGTGACAAATACTTATTAAACTTGAAATACTTATTAGACTTGCTTGGGATTCTTCCAAAAAAAGTAGTATTTTATCTCAAAGATACATTCTGGCCAAATAATCAAACACGCTTTCTGAAATAAGCTGTATTCAGAATACAAAAACTGCATTAGAGCTAGATGGAAGAGACTAATGAACATAAATGTGTCTCTGTTTGTTTTTAATTGACTGATTTGACAAAACTTCTTGTAGTGGCCTCACTGACAATTTTCTTTTAATATGTGTGCGCCTCTGACAGATATAAAACTAAATTTTTTTCTGAGAAGAATTAATGATATTTCAAGTTGGCAGCACACTATAAAAAGCAAGAACGTGCATTAAAAATGATCGTTTCCTACAATTTTTTTTCTCCTCTGATTAATGTAAGCCACTTTAATTACAGAGGCAACTTCACAATATACTTCTAACTTTACCCTCTTGATCTAGAAGACAAATACTTCAAAGGGTTAAATTAGGATGAAAGAAGTGAAGAGATCAAAATATTACACCTCCTCCTCTTTCCTTCTTTTCTCTTCTTGTTCATCTTCATATGCTTTCTGAATTCTCCTCCTCTGTTCAGCTAGTCGTTTCTCTTCTTTTTCTTCTTCCAGTCTAAGTTTTTCTCGCTCTGCTTCTTCCCTACGTCTCTTTTCATCAATCTAGAAAACAAAGCAAAGAAGTATTCAGCTATCAACAGACAGCAGTAATCTCATAAACATCTCCCATCGTGAACATCTACAGAACTTTGAATCTCTGCTCATGCAACCAACAATTGTATGCAACAACTGAAAGATCTCAAAGGCCAGCCTATGTTTCAATTTCAGGATTCCTTTAACACAAGCCAGTACTTTACTGTTTCTTTTTGGCAACTATTTACTGAACCATCTTTCAGTACAAATGCTAATTATATGTGCTAGTACTAAAATCTGAATATTCGCAAACATTTTCTTCCGGAGGTACCAAAATAACACTTTACCAAACAAATAAGAAGATGGGAAACCAAAGAAAAAAAGACACAGTGATTGTCATCTTCTTTTCCACAATTGTATTACTAGACTCACCATTGACTTACTGCAGCCAAAGCCCATTCTTAATTACTTTTGGCAGCCCTATACATAAAGAAGGACTCAAGCTTTTCATTCATTAAGAGATACACATCACAGAATCATAGAATGGCCTGGGTTGAAAAGGACCACAATAATCATCTAGTATCAGCCCCCCTGCTGTGTGCAGGGTCGCCAACCACCAGCCCAGGCTGCCCAGAGCCACATCCAGCCTGGCCTTGAATGCTTCCAGGGATGGGGCATCCACAGCCTCCTTGGGCAACCTGTTCCAGTGTGTCACCACCTCTACGTGAAAAACTTCTTCCTAATATCAACCTAAACCTCCCCTGTCTCAGTTTAAAACCATTCCCCTTTGTCCTATTACTATCCACCCATGTAAATGTTTTTACTTCTAAATTATTTACTATTTCCTTGATGATGTAATTACACTGACATCTAATTCACATAAAGTAAAATTACACACAAAGCTTTATGGACAGAAGACAGAAACTGATAGAACAGCAGTCACACTTTAGAAAGCCATCAACAAATAACCAGATTATTACTGTCCCAAAGACAATGACAAGTGCATGTCATTCTGACAAACATGCACTTGTAACACGCTCATTTCCAAGGGCAATTTTTTTCCTTTACGCATTTATGTAAGCTTGTACTGTATGAACTGCTTGAGAACTCCAAACTGAATTTAGAGGGTCACATTTCGGAAAAGAGACATAATCTAAGTTAATGAAGCCAATTATTAATAGCATCATTTTCATAACCATTTCTTATGAAGGGGAAAAAAAAAAACAGATTCAACAGCATACAGCTCTCAGCATACACCCTGCTTGCAGAACTGGCTGCGACACAAAAAAACCTTTGGCTGGTCAACCTTATCTAGTGATTTACTTTGCACGTAATCCCTCTTCAAAAAAAATAATTATTTAACATGACAAGTGGTGTAAGCATTCACCTGTAGACGAAGAAAGTTTTTGTATGACTCTTGTCGCTTCAGTTGTTGTGGAGATGGCAGCTCACCAAACACATTGCCCCGAGCAAAAGGAGAAGTCTGTGCAAATGCAAAACCTAAGAGGGAGATAGGGAAAAAAAAAATCCAGCTAAAAATCAAATCAAACTGAAGAGAGCAAACCAGAGTGAAGGAGGAGGAATGCGAGACGCCCCTTTCACAAAGTAGTTATGACAGCCCTAATTCAAGGCAATAGCTGAAAACAACAGTTGCAATTAAAAGTTTTCACACTGTCTGTCTAGAATGTTTTTACTGCTCTTTAATGTCTGAGCTAGATGCCTTGTTACAAAATGACACCTACAAAAGATTTTAGGATATCATGAAACAAGTCACATATTTTACCCTGAAATCTACAGTTTAAGATCTAAAAAAATGTCACACTGAAGTTAATTACAATAGCAAACATTCTGTATTTCATAATTCTATTGCTTGCCATCTAGTCTGATTTAACACACATAGCTCTGTTTCTTGGGTTTATTCAATATTTAAAAACAGAGTATGAGGTAAAGTAGCAATGGATACTACGAACAACAAAGCCAAAAACTGGCAAATAAAATTCTAAGCACTCAGAAAATGGAATTCTGCCATTGTAAGGCACCTTCTGTTCCATGAAATTTGAAGTGTCAGGTCTCTTTGAGCTCAGCAACTTTCTCCACTGTATTGGAAACAACATCACTGGGGACAGGTCACCAAGTTAACCTTCCTGAGCTAAGAATGTGTCATAACCATACAGTCCCAATAGCTCTAGAGAAGAGGATCAACTCAGATAACAGAACAGCCTCTGCAGAACAGGATCTCTACAGGAAGTGGAGGAGAAAGAAAATAAATAAGCGTAAGTTGTGTTCTCTTTTCAACTGATACAGCATGATCCTCATTCTTACCATGTCTCCTCCAAAGGACATAGTGCCTCAGGGGTGTGCAAACACCACAACTCCACTAAGCTGAGATGAACAGAGCTACAAGCTGCTCTCATGCTCCTCCCTTACTTTTCCCTGTGCAGTGGCTTAACACCCAAGCCAGATGAAAGCAGAAACAAGATATACATTTATTCCCATAGAGACAGACAGGCTTACTTCTACTACTCAGTTCTAATTACAGAATCAAATACTTTCAGGTTAATGCTAGTTTTCCTTACACTGAATCACTGTTTGAATGCTTCCAAAACAGAACTTATATGTGGTTCTTCAGGATGGATTTACTTCACACAATCCATTCTGTGCAGAAATTCACAAGAAAGCTTATATATCATTTAAAAGGCACCAACACAAGGCAGACAAGTTACTATGGAATGCATCCAGGAATTAACTTATTGTGTAAAAGCTACTACCCAGCAAGCTCCTGTTTAGCAGGAGGGAGAAAAATGAAATAAAATAGAAATAATCTAAACAAGGTCATTTTAATGCCTAAGTGGGAGGTGCAAGGCCATCCTGGTCACAACTCTCATCCATATCACCTTCTGTTCTCAGTGTCAATGATCTAACCAGGTGACTCTTGGCTTTAACAGCCTTGCCTGTTCCACCTCTTACAGCCTTGCCTGTTCCACCTCTTACCAAATGGTTAAATACACAGTGTATCAGGTAGGAAGAGCGAGACAGCACAGAAAGAAAGGAAAAAAAAGATTCAAGAGTCAACAGTCGTGACATTGAACACTGATCTTGGGAAACAGATCCGTGTTCCAATTAACATCTTTACATACAAGTGCAACAGATGGAGTAGGAAAAAAATCAGCATATAAGCTGACCCAAGCAGAGCAGGGCAGATCCTGGGGACAGGTCTGGAGTATCACAGCACTCTCATTCAGATGTCTCATGAAACATGAGAGAAAGATGCATTTGTTTTTTAAATAAGAAAGTCAAATAGAATCCCTAAAATTTGGAGGCAGTATGCAGGGCTGCATATCTACTTATCGTACCCATTCCCTCTTTGAACTTAACTATGCCTGTTTCATCTTACACCATCATCTACCTGCAGGCCATCTTCCCTACTTCTATGGCATTTTTCTCCTACTATACAGTCCTATTTCACTGCACCATTTAGAAGTAAAATAAATATGTATCAAGATTTGATTATGTAACTTTGAACCTGGAAAACTAGTGTACTGATTCTGACTGTCAACAGTTACCATTTATCACTATTGATGAGACAGATAGGAGAATATATTTTCAGCACACACAAATGACAGCAATAGAGAAGTTTGCAGAAGAATAATTATTTAGACTTCAATGGCACAAGGCACTAATGCTGCTAAAGGACTACAAGAAAGGAGGAAAAGAAACTAGAAGAGTTTGATCACTAAGACCTACAATTAGAGCTATAAGAGTGTTCTTAAAAACCTGCTATTTTATTTGTAGATGCTCCTGCGTTCTCAGGTCTTGGTGAGGCCAAACTTAGGTCAACAGATACAATAGCCCTTTTATCTTCGTATAATCTCGCCTCCGGATTATGATACGCATCTTCATTTTGCTTGTGCATCATATTCAAGTCAGCTGAAGGAAAGGGGAAATAACTGTTTGTAGCATTTTGTTCTCACATAAGCACGTTCACCATAGATTCTCAAAAACGGGGCTTTTTAGCAGACTTCATTTCTGGACGCAGCAACTACAGGAACAAAAAATTTAAGCAAAGACAAGAACATATATGCTACAGTGAAATATTAGTTACAAGGAATTCTTTTGCCAGGAATGATTCCTCATAGCAAACCTCTGCCCCACCAGAAGCTATGAAACGGAAAGGCAAAGAGCTCAAAGACAAAACAGACTGAAACAGTTGTGATGATGAGCACCTATTTCCTAAAAGCTGTAAAATACTTCTCAGTTTAGAATTGGTATTTTAAGTACTGAATCCCTAGTGTATTTCATTCCTTTAGGGGCAATAACCACAATAAGCCATTAAGGTGTATTGTGGTCTTCATGTCACCTTAATAGTCCAAGTGTTGATGTCTGTGCAAAATAGTGTCATCCAATTTTTTTTTTTTTAAGCACATTTCAATCAAGATTTACACACTGCTTATTTGTTACCAGAAAAATCCTGGTCAAAGATCCAATTTCAGCTCATCTTGAAACATTCACTGTATTACTCCTAAAAGGCTCATTTTCAAAATAAAGACAAAGAAAACCAACCCTACTACATAGTTTCCAAACTATGTTTCAAAATAGTCATTCTGATACATAGGAATCACTGTAGTCATTTAAACACACAGGTTTCAAATACTTGAAATTACATCCCTCTCTGTAAAGGACCTTTTGCATTAGTGTTTCCAGAAGCTGTTTACAGACATCTTCAAGAAGGCAAAAGTCACACTGCACAAAATAAGAGACATAGCAGAAACAGCACATTATGTTTGATGATGTTTCACTCCTACCTTATCCTTCAAGTTGCTAAAGTACAATGGGGATAAATAACTTCAGATACATAATCCAGGAAAACTAGCTAACAATCTTCTCTTAGTTCCCCATTCACAAACAAATTTCTGAGGAAGTATATGCACACTTTAGGCTAACACAAGCAACCTCTTTTTCTCTGGCTTACACTACCCACACTGTCATAAAGCCTGGAGCAAGAAACCAGGTACTCAAATGCTGTGCTTAAAGATAGGCAGTGACAACATCTCTACCTGCTCTGGGGATAAACACAAGCTTCTAAGCTTACTATTTGGGCACACAGGTTTTGCAAAGCCTTTGAACCTTACCTCCATCTTCAAATGACTAGCCACATGCCATTGGGGTGTCATAAAATTGAAACTTATTACCCATATATGGACTGTTACCCTGTGTGTGTTCCATGCTTTCAAGATTCTCGTATTTTAGTACCAGAGGACATATTCTGAAAACCTAACGGGAAGGCAGCATCATATTCCAATAGCATGAAAATCAATTTGCATCAGCTGTATTCAGCTTTCCACAAAATGAAACTGACTGGTGTCATACCCCCGAATGGGGATGAGAAATGCTTGTCTCAAACATCACATTTGACTTCTACTGGATAATTTCTAGAGTCTTCCCTTTCTTTTCCACATTAATTGGAAGCATTTAAATTCTTTCAGCTGGGAGGAGGAATAAGAAAACATCAAGTCCATTTGACTTACTATTTCTGTGTGCTGTAATTATTACCTCTTGAATAAACGACAGAATCATGAAGGAAGCTGAATCTTTAACACTGAAATCAGGTTGGATATGATACAGAATCAACATGGCATTTAAATTCACCTATGCAAAACCTACTCTAGTTTCCTTATACCATATGCCTGAAACAAACCCATCTCCCAATAGCTGCTAAAGAGCCAGTATAGCTATTTTCAAGCTAAGATGCTGAAGGCAAGAATTGAACTAGAATAGGCCTACAAGAGATAAATGGCTGCTGAGATGTGGCATAAGTCCTCAAGTCACAGGATCAAATGTGAGCATGCAAACATCCTTCATTCAGCTGAAATGATTGAGGGGATTTCCAAAACAGTTATGGCAATTACATGGAGATAACAGTTCAACAAAAGAAATACTTTGTGGCACTTACTTTAATGTTAAGAAATTCATTTTGAAATGTATGAATCTAGTTGTGCTTACTGAGAACTATTTTAATTTCTGCACAAAACTTTGTTGCTGTAGTGAACCCTACAGCAAAACTGCACATAGAGAAAGCTTTGCCTAAACGCAGGGACTATGTCCAGGATCCAGAATCATAAATTTGAGTTGTACATCTACCTCTGATTTACAGAAGGCTATAATCTGGGCAAGTTGTTCATCTGCCATCTCCCAGCCTGCTGCTCCCATCTTGTATAAAGCAGCGCTTAGAAATAGAAGAAATAAAATTTTAAAACATTACTGACAAACTGCCATTTACACAACCATTTGCCAGCAGTGCTACTTGGAGATTTAAGTATTCCACTTAGGTTTAGATATTTTTTCTAACATTTTCCATGTCACAAGTAAAGCTTTCTAAAAACCTGGAAAATGTTTATATAAAAGCCTCCAGAACAGACCTCAGCCTATTTCTACTGCAGCTTTTTTTCTTTTACCCTTTACTTTTGCATTTGTTCTTCATTTAAAGCTGACATCTACTTTTTTTTTTTTTTTTTTTTTTTTAATATTACCCTTTGAATCATTCTACTGAAATGAAATCGATTACTTAAATATTCCCAGAGCACATCAGCTTAAAACAAGTATTTCTGTTTGTAAATAAAGCATTATCAGTGCTACAAAACATGAAATAACATATGTGAATAAAGCCCTTACAGGAGCAAGAGAATCCTCAAAAGACAGCCCATAGTTTTGGCAAACATACTTATCAGATTTCCTTTTGCATCTCTGAGAGGAGCTCCACCACCACCTTTTCCCCAGGGGTTGTAATTCCTCATTTCTGCTTCTAACTTGGCTTCGTAACGTTCTTTCTCTTCTTTCTCTTGTCTGCGTCTTTCCTCTCTCTCCCTTATCTAAAAAGAAACAATCCAAAATTAATTGCTTAAAAATATCACAAGGCGTATAATTTGATTAAAAAGCCGAAGAAGTAAGGTGAGTGCACTCATCCCCCCACCTGTATCTAGTAAACTTCATTTCACTGCCTACCAGGCAGACAGAACACCAAACTGTCACAACACACAAGTACAGTTGTGTGTGATCACAGAGGAACACTTTGGAAGTCTTTCAAATATTCATGTCTGACACCTGCAGTAGATCGAAAGTCCCACATTCTTGGATCTTATGATTATTATTATTATTAAGAGGAGGTTGTCCTGCTTCTCATTCTGACACATTTTGTTCAGCCTGAACTCAGAGATGGGATAAAGACTTTTACCCAGAAACAATAAGAGAATGTGATACAATTCTGAAACTATTCATTAAACAGCTGTACTACAGTAAGACATGATGATATATGCAAATAATGCGTGACTGCTCATATGGTTTGTTTTCCTTTGAGACTGCATTAAATACACATAACAGTGTCCTTACTACTTCATGTAGCTCTCATAAAGAGAACAGCTGTTAAAAAAACCAATCTAACTTCTATTCAAAGCTCCTGAAACACACTGCTATTTCTGTAGCTAAATTACATTAGCACATTAAGTTTATTCCTTTCATGCATCAAATAAATAAAAATAAGTTTCCCTTTATCAAGGGAAATGGATTCTTATCCAAGAATGGCTTGGATTGGAAAGGACCTGGAAGATTACCTCCTTCCAACTCCCTGCCATGAGCAGGGCTGCCACCCACTACATCAGGTAATCAATCAAAGACAATTTTGGATGAGACGCCATGAGTCAAAACAAAGACACATCCAATCTGCAGACTGTTTCCATGCTTAGATGCATGATTTAGCAAAGGGTTGTTAGAGTTAGGATAGTATGGTTAGGTTGAGGTTGGACTTGTTGATCTTTAAGCTCTTTTCCAACCCACCAATTCTATGATTCTATGGCTTTGTGTACAGTGAGAAAATGAGAAAAAGAATGTACAGTATATTCTGCTCACTTTTAAAGATACACAGAATTATAGCTTTGAAAAATTATCTTGTCAGGATTGCCAGATCTTTATGTCAAATTGTGCAGTCTCTCACGTGGCAGTAAGCTTGAAAAACCTGCTGTTTACCTGAAGAGCTAAAATGAGCTAAAGAAAGGTCAGAGGACCAGCAGAAAGGAAACAATGGAAAAAGGGAGGGTTAAGAAGGCTTTTTTTACTAGCAAATGGAATGAATATCTCTGAAAGAATACTACAGTTACAACCATTACATGTTAACAAGAAGAAAATGTCAGCAGCTTTGTAATCAGTACCTGCTGCTGCAATTCTTGCTGATAAGACAACGTCGCCTCTTTGGAAGGCTTTGACTTTTCTTCAGAAAATACTCCTATGCTTCTTTGTCTGTCTCCTGTACTCCTCTGTCCAACGTTACTTCTGAAGCAGAAATCCACACGTATAAAAGTGGAAAACATCAAACATCATAGGTTCAAAAGGGAAGGGGAAAAAAATTAAATAAAAAAAAGCTCTGACCAAAATACATTACAGCCTAACCAGTTTATCTATATAATACAGAGAAGTTCACTGAATTATTTAGATAGAGATTGTTAAACGTAAGTTTGAAGAGTAGCCTTTAACACACTTTAATTCAATATATCTTGTTAGCAAACTACTTCCAATATGAAAATCATATCAATACAGAGAAATGCAAACAAAGATCCAATACTGACAAAGAATAAATAATACACACATTCAAATAGTATAAATTATACAACAAAGAATAAACATAATTACTTACACAGATTGCTCTACTGGGGCTTGGGCTAAAGGAGGATCCAGGTTAGGTGTGAGTTGCATTCCCATCATACCTGTGCCATCTGCAAAGTACAACAATCAAAACCACTGTATTTGACATCTGTATTCACACTGAAATAGGAAAGGTAGTACTGTGCCACAGCAGGGCTTGAAATCACTACACGTACTATTGCTTCAGCCCGAGACAGTAAGAAATGCAACTCTAAAACAACGTCATACTTTCAGATTTCATGTCCTAGCTATATCCTACTTTGTGACAACAATCTTAACCCTGCAGGTGAACTTTAAGTATTCATTTGTTTAATACTCTAAACAGTAAGCCATTGATGACAAGACTAAAAAGAAACTTCCAGAGGTTCAAGATCACAGCTTCCCATCTTACTTTTTCCTTGTAACTTCAAAGATCTATCAAGCCATAAGCTACTACAGTTCAAGAAGGAGAAATTTATAATGGGGGGCATAAGACTAAAAGCTGCTGCTTTTAAATATCTAGCATTCACAAAATTCCCCAACTGACATCAATCTCATTAAAAACTATCATCAAAAGTTTTCTTTGTTCTGTATTTTAGATTTTCTATGGAGGTATCAGAGCAATTTTTTAGAACTCCCCCCTTCCCAAAAACCACACCAAACCTTCCCTAATCACACTTATGTCACTCATTAGACCATCACAAGCAAAGGGTAAACTAAAAGAAAAAAACAAAAAAAAAAGCACCCTGGTTTACTTAATATAGCTCCTTCAAAAATACCTACATCTGAAATCACAATGAAACCAAGACAAACAATTAACTATAAAATCATTTTAGTAATTTAAAAAAAGGTTTTATTATTGAAGCTACAAAGAAAATAACGTGGGCAGAGTAATGGCTAAGCAACTGCTGATCTTCTTAAAGTCCTAAGACTTCTGGAAGCTGTAGCTTCTTTTTGGAACATTCAAAACCAATACTGGAGAAAAAAAAAAATTACTTTTCATTCTCACATTCAGCACACACCTAAGAGCTGGGTACAAGCAGTTGTTACTAGTTAAATTATTCATCAGTTAACTTGATTAAAGACAGTTATCTGAATCACCTATATCCAACCCACTCAAAATCATCAACTTACAATATGCAAGATTGGGATCCAAAGGATTCCTTGCTCCGTAGAAGTAATATGCATCATCATAAGGTGTTCTATAGTTGTCTGTCAAAACTGGTGGTGGAGGTGGCGGCATAGGGGCGAGCCTTAAAGAAAACAGGAACCACTTTTGGTTTGTTTCACAACTGAACAGAGATCACTTAGAAATAATAGAAAATGAAAGAGAGGGAATTCACTGTGGGAAAAGGTAGCTCAATCCAAGAACTCTCATTAGTGCCACATAGGAGCAAGATACAATAAATCTCAATAAGGAGTCAACCTTCCCTTAGGGAGTAGCAAGCAAACCACACTATTCGAGAAATCTAAGCAGTGTAAAGGAAGCCCATCTTCTTTAACTGGTTCAGATGATGATATTTGCAGGTTATTTCTGTAACAGTAAATAAAACACGCCATGCAGCAGTCTCTGACCAAAAAGCAAGCAGCACAGCACAGCTTTAGCTGTGGATGTCTCATCCCTGGAGGTTTTCAAGGCCAGACTGGACAGGGCCCTGGCAGCGTGACCTACTGTGCTGCAATTCTGTCCACAGCATGGAGGCTGCAATTAGATGGTCTGTAAGTTCCCTTCCAATCCAAGCCATTCTGTGACTCTATGATAATCCACTGTAAGAAAACCCTAGGTATGCAATGTTATGTCAGTGCAAAGTAATTTACTATTAAGCTCTTTTTTGTTAATATTTTAATATTACTTCCATCTTCATTAGTTCCTTGGAGAAGGATTGACAACACCGCTGAGCTCTGCCTTTCTAAGTAGCAGCAACATGATGAACACTGAGCTTATTTAACATGCAAAAATCAAGATGATGATCAAGCACCTGGGAGCTGCCATTTCACCAAGAGCGCTGGCTAGCCCTCTGTGAAAGTCTTCATTCCCTGGAGAGACAGAAGGCATGGACACTGGAGTTTGGAAAGCAACCCTGGGCCTTTCAGGTGGTAATTTCTCTTCAGAAGTTCTTGCTGTCAAACCAAAATGCTTCAATCTATTTGGCTAATGGAGAAAGAAAAGAAGTAGAAGAAAAAAGTATGTAACGTGTTATCAACATGGAATATTCTGAACCTCCATTTAGGTTGTGTTAGTACCACTAGTACCTAATTACTGCTCACATTTCCTGTAACTGCATTTTTTTTTTTTCCCCTTCTTGGGGAACTACTGGAAATCTTTTACTACAAGGAGATCTAATATGTTTACCATAGATTTAAAAAATAATCTCCACTGCTGGTTTCAGGAATTATATTGCCCTAATCATTATCCTGGAAGAAGTATTTACTTATCTGTAGTAGAGCTTAACCACAGCTGCCAGTTTCCTGCACTGACAGCATTCTCATATTAAACAAAGTTTATGAAATCCATCCCCCCTCTAACATGGAGTTCATAATCAGTAGGAATAAAGACAAACACACACTGAGACTTTCTCCAATAAACATTTCTTTGCAATGTCATGATGTTCGAGGTTCCTTTAGATTTTTTTCAAGCAGTACAATTATGTTTTTAAAAAATATTATTTCTTAAGTACCAAATGTTTATTGATAACTGGCAGCCTCAGAAAATGGTCAAAGGCAACATGCAAGTAGAACAAAGGCATGCAAATCAATTAGTTTCACAACTATCCTACCACACCCACAAAGCCCCTACACCACCTGCTACACATAAGTACTTTAACATCTGTTTAAATGAACCACTATAACAGAAGACCAAAAAACCCACCATATGCTATGTAAGTAAAAATCAGACTGTTTCTGAATTTACCAGTCCTAACATTGTAGTGCTTCAGCTACCGTGCATGCAGAGACAGCAATATTAGCACCAGCTAAATATTAAATATCTAACAGCAAACTGCATGTCCTACAACAGGAAAGTGTTTCAGCAAAATATTAAATGTTTACCTCCTCATCACTTAGCTGCAAGACAGTATGTACAAGGCAGTTAGTACTCACCAATCATGGACTACAGCATTAAGATTAGAATTCACAAAATCTAGATGTTATTTTTTTTTATTTAACTTCAAACGTCTAATTGTGAATGCAAGTAACAGCAATTTAAAATTCTAAAGCTATCTACAGACATGTTTTTGTTTTTTAAACTTATTTTTTCAAATCTATGATATGGAGCAGGAGAACATTTAAAGCAGCCTTTCTCACTAACAAGTTTAACATCAAGAGTTCCCAGCATCCCCCAGATTTCAGCTCTGGGACTAATTACAGAGGTAACTCCGGCAGTCAGTTTATCTTGAGGATTGTTTTCTTTTAAACAAGCAGTAAACACAACAGTCTCCTTTCATATATTCTGAATCAAGCACTATTATTTAAGCTACCTGGAAATAATAAAGAAAACCACCTCATTAGAATCTCTCCTCAAGATGCAATTTAAAGTTAACAGTGAGCGTTGATTAATGGATATTGCAACTCTACTTAATCAAAGGCTTTTGGCCAAACTAATGGTTTTTAAACATGTCCTGAACTTACTCTGGATGTAACTTTGCTCATACAAGTACTTCTCAGTCCCTGAGATGCATGCAGAATACACAGTGCTTCCCCACAGTACGCATATGACTGCTCAGGTTCGATCAGAAATGCTCGCTGCAGCCAAGATCAGCAGCATCCTCTGCTCAGTTTGTCTTCTTTTCCCGTATAACTCTCACACATACACTTCAACCCTCTCCTTTTCAATATCTAAATCCCCAGTTAGCTCTAACCCAACTAAAGCAACAGAAGAGATTTGGATTTTTGCCAGCTAAACAAACCAAATCAGTTTGTGGAAAGAGTTCAAACTGACATCACAGATGCTTTCAGCAGAGAGGACAGGAACATGCAGCTGGAACATGACTGTGCCCTATCTCCCCATGTAAAGCAAGAATTCTGGCTCTGCTTAGCTGTTTATTTAGTTGCATTTTCTGTCTCCTGCCTCAAATGCTGACTTTATTGCTGACAGTAAGCTACAGCAATACAGTCAAATTCATTTTTTAGAAAAATGAGAGCTCCTTTCATGCCTCTCTCCAGAAGTACCTCAAGTTCCTTTCTATGCTGTACTTTCCTCAAAAAACAGTACCACTGATAACTTAAGCTGGTAACCAGTTCAACTAACAATCACTTTACTCTTGCTTGAGAAAGTTATCCATCCTTTATCTCCAGTAGCAGACATCTACAGCACCCAAGATGCACTGGCTTTGGCCTCTTAAAAAAACAAAACACACATGCAAATGACATGTGCAAATCACCATACTTGTGTGGCAAGCAATCTGCCATGGATGTTTCTGGCACTGACAGTCCACTCTCACGTACGGGATAATCAGAATTTTTACTAGAATTACCCTAGTAAGGAAGTGAAGGCAGTGGTAGCTCTGCAGTTGGTCTTACAAGTAACACAACATTAAACATCTTTTTTATTAAAATCACATAAAAATGCTTTTGCTCCTTAACGTTACATAAGAGAAATCCCACATAAGTAGGGAAAAAAAACAAAAAACACCCCATATTCCTCACCTTCTTTTCTGGGTCTATAGCCCCAGAAGCAGCAACTGAGAGCTCAAGTTCCTTCTCACTGTTTTTAACAACAACAACAAAAAAAGAATCAAATCAGAAAGCAGTAACAATTAGACTCATTTTTTTCAAAGCACAAACATCACAGCTCTGAAATGGCTATAACTCTGAAAACATAGAGTTCTTACATTGTAACACACTTCTATTTGATTTCTTCTGGAGTCAGGATAAGTTTTTAATAAACATACTCAAATAAATTACTCAGAACTACAATAAATAATATATTGTAATTTTCAGTCCCAGGTTTGTGCCGTGTGTACAATTTTCAACCACAGTGAAGCTGTCAAAAGTAACTTTTTAATTCATTATCCTTCCATTGGCCTAACGGCATGTTTGTGTATATCTCCATTGTCACTCAGCAAGCAACTACTAATACATAAGCAAGAAATTGGTATTTTATTATTCTGCATAAGTCATATGGTTGAGAACTTTGAAAGTGAAAGGTTACTTTCTTAAACTGGAGAGAAATAAAGATTCATTTTCAACTTCTCAAAGTAACTGCTCACTCTGCTACCATCAAGAAAGCTGAAAACTGGTGAATTTACTGAAAACTAAAGTTCCCATGCCCCCAACTTAATTAGATGTAATTAACCTAGCTAGCTTGAAAATTATCACATCCAGTTAATGAAATTCCTTTAAATTTCAGATATTCTCTTTTAAAAATAAAGCAACTTTCCATTACCGCCTCTTATTTCGCTGTTGTTCAGCCATCTGTTCAATTAATTCTTGCCTGTATTTCTCCTTTTTCCTTTGGAGAAGTTCTAGGTCTTGATCACCTAATGGAAATGGTCACACAGTACGTAAACCCTTCACAAAATACACAAACGTAGTTGGGCAAACGCACTGCAAGTCATTCAAATCAGAAACATGAAACACAGCACGGTACGCCATGAGGCAATTGTATAATTATAACATCTGTATATTCACTGATTAAGAAACACACAGGAAAGTTAGGCTAAGTAAGATTATCATATTAGGAAGAGAATAAATAGAAAATGCTTACTGATGCTGTAGGCTCGCAATATCCTTCATGAGGAGCGATCTCCAGGAAGAGATCCTTCCTTGGAGGCAGTCAGCACTTACATGGGAATTACGGGAGGTGGAGCCAGGCTCCACTCCTTCTGGCAGCACACATGAATTGCCTTCACCTGTGCTCCCAGGGCTGACTGTTGCTTGCCTCAGGTGGTCAATCAGAGGTTCAGGCCATGATTCAGCAGTTCCCATACAGGCAACACAATGACTGAAGAAATGTTACTTCAATTTTATGTTATTTTTAATTCTTTCCCTCTTACGCTCCTCCGCTAAGGAAGCTGCACTGTGGCATGTCCAAATTATGAAGCTTTGGATAAAAGAAAGTTAAAACAAAAAACAGCCAAACCCATGGGGGAAAAAAAGCATACTTTTAAGATGGTTTCCATGACTACTATGAATTAGAGAAGTACTGGCAGATATGCGTGTGTTAAAGGAAAACAGCGATTACATCTCATGTGGATTTTATGAACTTGGAAAAAAACCTCCAGTTTTGGTAATTTCTCCAGTGTATACGTTGGGCTTTCTATTAATAATAGATTACAAAGCAAATAAAAATAAAAAACATAACTCTAGATCATCAGTGACTTAAACCTGACTAGTGAAGCGGGCTGGAGAAAGAAGGTTAAAAAAAAAAAAAAGAAGGAAAATAAATACCCACAATTCACATCTGACTCAAGTTTCAGTTATCGTGCTGTGAGTGCAAAGTGACCCAAGTATGCAAGGGAACCTCATGGCTTGTGACTGAAATCACTTCCTATTTCCACATATTTCAACTTTCACACAACCTAGTTATAATCTTCTGTGAGGAAGACAAAGTCGTAACTCAGGTGAGTACAGTGAGATGTTTGCAAGCAGGTTGGAGAGGCTGACAGTTACAGCACTGTGATTTTAACTCTGCCTTCAAACCACTGAAAAAATCATCTAGCCACATACACTGAAGATCAGGTACACTCATATGTAAAAATAAACAGAAACTAATGCTGACATCATGCAACAACAAATTATCCAATTTTGCCACCAACTAAAATCTAGCCTGCCTTCAAAGGCTTGCATCTGAAGAATCAATTTTCTTGTTCCTGCCTTATTTTCTGATTTTAGCTAGAAATGCTGTTTTTTTAGCAGTACTTCTCTCCAATAAGCTCAATAATGATGTTCACTGATAAATATGATGGCTACATTTAAGCATCAGAATTGTCTGTTTTTGCACACAGTTGTGACCACCCGTTCCCATACTTCTGCAATTCATTTTGGAGTATCAGGTTCTGGTGTCTCTGAAAATGTACAGGTTAATGTTTTGCCAACATTCTGTATTATTACTCATTAAAAAAAAATAATAAATGTAAGAATGTATCTGGGCTTTACCCTGATAACAACTAAGAAGAAACTTGGGCCCTTCAGAATTAATTAGAAAGCTCTACAAACTTCAGTGGGAAAAGGTCTAGTTTTTACTACTATTATTTTCTCTTCGTAAATAACACTTATTTACCAGTATCAGGGAAAATAAGTATGAAGAAAAAGTGAAATGCACAAAGAAAAGCTAATTATGTCATTAGGTAAGTTTCTATACATACCAAGAATGAGGCCAGTAGCATATGTCATTTCAGGAGCAGATTTGGCAGGTTCATTAGCTAAAGAACTAATCTGTGCCTGATTTCTGGCAAAAACAAACAAGAAAACAGAAAGATCAGACTTGAGAATTTAGTTACGCTTTGTGTAAAACGTGACAGGTGCATTTACATCTTAGCTTAGTAGCTTAGCTGAAAGAAAAGTAATTTTGGATTAGGGATTTTAAACAGGGCTTTTCCTCTCACCATGATTTTGTAGTACAAAACACATTTTATACCAGACCTAAAATTTCCAGTTCGCGAGATGCGCTGCACGTGTGATCTCTCCTTTAATTCGTCTTCATAATCTGCAGGTAGATCTCTTACTATTCCATCCAGATCGGGCCTTAAAGAAATAGAAGATACTCAACCATACTTGCCTAAAAACATCTAATCTGAAATGAAAGGTGCAGCAGATGGATCCTCAGCCTGATTGCACACTGGATAACAGAACCAATTTGGAAAATACTACACAATTTTTTTTAGGAACAATTCATTTTGCTAGCATTATCAGAGCAACACTTTGTCTGGAATTCAAATTCCCAAGTCTGACTTCAAGCCAAAGGGGTACCACATCTCTCACAAAGTATCTTTTTACTTGAATGTCTGGCCGACTGCATGCTAGCTGGACTTTCCCGTGTAGAATTTACTTTTCCTTACAAAAACATACTCCGCTCACAGCAAGGAAGACACTGAGGCCATGGAGCATGTTCAGAAAAGGGCAACGAAGCTGGTGAAGGATCTGGAGCACAAGTCTTATGAGGAGCGGCCGAAGGAGCTGGAATTGTTCAGTCCGGAGAAAAGGAGGCTCAGGGGAGGCCTTATCATCCTCTGTAACTACCTGAAGAAAAGTTACGGCAAAGTGGGGGTCAGCATCTTCTCCCTTGTAATGAGCACTAGGACTACAGGGAATGGCCTCAAGCTGCACAAGGGGAGGTTCAGGTTGGACGTTAGGAAAATTTATTCCCCAAAAGAATGGTCATGTGCTGGAATGTGCTACCCAGGGAGGTGGTGGAATCCTCATCACCAGGTGTTCAAGAACTATTTGGATGTTGTACTAAGGGACCTGGTTTAGTGGGGAAACATTGGTAGCAGGTGGACAGTTGGCCTAGATGATCTTGGAAGTCTTTTCAAACCTTGGTGATTCTATGAAATCCTTCACTGCAGAGCCAGTTTCCCTGACAAGTTTTATTACTCTTTGTTTACACTGATATGACCACAATCCTACCACTGGTGGCAACCCTAGACAAGATCTCAGAAGTGATGCAGGATCACACACTTAGGCACTTGGACTGCATTGATTGGAACTCATCTTGCTCTTAATCCCAGATTAACGGGATTAATGGATGAAGCCGACAACAACCTGAACCACAGCTGTTGGGTAAACGTAGTGAAACAGTCATTTCAGCTTTTTTAATGACAGCCTACTGTTCACTATGCACCTGACAACACTCAATCAAGATTAAAGACAGGTAATACAGTGAATACCTAAATTCAGGAGCTGAAGTTCAAAGAAATAAAAAAGAAACTCCAAATAATTCCAAAGATGCTAAAAACTGCATAAGCACAAGTGAGTTTTTCCTGAAAACATCTAGGGTAGCTGAATTTTTCTAGCCCTGAAAATTACTCTGTAATGAGAATGATCAGTTACCCTGAGAAACTAAGGCAAGAATAGGTATTCAACGAGAAAATAAAGCACACAAAAGACAAAGGTATATTTTCCAAAGCTGGACAAAGTCATGGAATTCCTAATAAAGAAATAAAACCAAAAAAAATCCGATGTAAATATAGAAAGAAACATTTTTTTTGTGTGTGAAAATCCACAGCTCTGTGAATCTCTGTAATTTAAGTTACAGCCAATAATCAGAGGCAAAAGGATGCAAACAAATTATTAAACATTGACTTAGCATCTTAGTTGCTGTTATAAATCAAACAAGATCTGGAAAAGGTACTTCTGAAAACTGTTAAGAAAAATGCAAAATCTTTAGAAACTCAACTGTCAGTGGCATGAATTTTCTTCTTGAAGAAACACCAATTGCAGTTTGTAAAAGATGAATGGAGCTCCTTCCAAAGGACAAAAATACTGGACTACAAATGGCATTTAATATAAAAATGATGAAAAACGATTGAAAAATGATCACTTTCAAGTTAAAAAAAAATAAAAGTCTGCAAAGTAGTAACTAGCATAGAGGTTCTATGGCAATGCTTTTTTTCCTAAAAAACACTGACACTTCAGCTATCTTTGTTAGATGCTGAATCAAGCTTCTACACTGTTTCATTCTGCAAATTTGTTGGACAAGAAGATCCTACTTAAGACTTCCCTTGCTCCATCCTGTGGCACAGCATTGGTAGAAATTAGATATTTTTGCATTTTGCACTCTCTTTTTCCAAGCTACATTCGACAGAAACAGATAGTCTTGCTCCTGCTGTCTTTCTGACCACTGTGCTTCCATTTAGCCAGTCTTTTTCAGAAATATTACATGAGGAAATACGCACTTTTAAGCACAGTTGGACATACAAACCTGCACCTCCCAAATGCTTCCAGACATTTTCCCCATACTTGCTTACCTTCATTCCTTTATGATTTCTTTTTTTAAACACTGGAAGTGCTGAGAAATAATGTCTACAAAAACACTTTTCAACATTATTGTACTCTACTGCCACTTGATACTAGAAAAGAGGACTCATTCCATTTAGAAAATGTGTTTCCAGTAGAAGAGCATTTAAGGAATTGTTTTTTCCAGATACTCATTTCCAATACTACCTAGAACATTATCCCTGTAAACAATGACTCAAAAGATCGTTCAGTCAGTCCTCCAGCAACTAAAAATTAAACATAATTGCAGTACTGAACACCATTGAGAGCGGCAGAATTTGTCTTCTGTTATTTCTAGAAGTGTTCACTCTGTTTTATCTTGGGCTGTTCACAAACACATATATTCTGACTGGTTAGTATTTAAAGTACTTTTTCTGGTGTAACTTCATCAGTACCCTTGGTTTGTATATAAAATGCCACCTAATATAGACTTGATCAGGTATTTGTTCCAGTTTTAAACATTTTTCAAAAACAATGACAAAATTATTTTCTGAAATAAGTCCAAAAATTCTGTTTTCACACGTAAATCTTGTATAACTTCCATTGAGAGCAAACTATGGCTGTTCACAAGGACTACAGAAATAAAGTAGAAAACAGAGTTAAGAATACCTTTCAGAATAATAAAGCCGGGGAGGTTTTCTCTCATAAGCACTTTCACATCTAAATCTAGGATCTAATTCTTCACTTATCTCAGGATCATAGTCCGTTCTGTAGTACCTTCGATCAAAGTCACGATCCTCATCAAGTCTGTGATACCTTCTAATAGGAATTAGAGATTGGCTCGCAAATGCCCGATGTCTTCTACCAGGAACATCCAAATCTTCATCAAGTCTTTTATTTAATAGTCGACTTCTTGATTCAATTTCATCATCTAGCCTATGGTACCTGTCTTCTTCCAGCCGTCGCTTATTCAGCAGCTCTTCGTAACCTTCTGTGGAAGTAAAGGCATCTTTCCTGAGAGGTTCTGCAGCTGTATTACGGGACTCTACATCTGGATGGAACTCAGGTTGGAGCCTGGTAACTGCAATAGGTTTTTTATTCCTGTCCATCTGATGCTGTTTAACGGGAAAAAATATTTAAGAATTTGAATATAAGCAAATCACATTCAAGGAATACAAAAGCAAGTTTTCATTCAAAACCTGACTGAGGAAAAGAACAACTATATCTTTACAGGCCCTTCACCTAAGATTTTGAGGTAATTAAATGAGAAAAAAGGGGAGACAAACATACGAAGTCTGATCCCTTTCTCCCCAAAGTTCACACAAAGAAAATCTGGGTAGCCATTTGAAATTGTCACGTTGGATAAGGCAATGGTGGCAAATTCGTAGCTGCCTATAACCTAAGAACCTCTAAATGAGAAATTGTCACTGGCACTGAAACACATCAACACATTAAATGAAAGGCTTCAGCTCAGAATCCGAGATCTATCAAGCACATGCTCAGTCTGTATTCAAGAATAAAGACAATATTTTGACTCACAACTGCACGGCATCATATACTGGACAGCTAGCACCTGTCCTGCTTTCTCCTGGACTGAACACAGACTGAGGAAAAGCAAAGGAGCACTGTGTGATGCTCAATATTTTGTCCAATGAGACAGCTTCTGCTTCTTTAGCCACCCTTCTACCACCAAGAATGATGTGGAGACCAGTTTCAGAGACACAGAAGAATGAAAGCTTTGTTCTACCACACAGACATGACAGAAGTAAAAATCAAGAACTGCACTGTGCCATATGGCTCATACTCAGGAATCACTAGATACCATCCATGAAAACATGGCCTAGGTAAAAAACATTCTTTGCTCCTTTTGTCTTATTTTGCATGTTTTAGTCAAGGATGAATAACCAACAAGATCATTTACGTTCTCTTTTCTATCAGCTTCAGTACAAGTGAATTACCTCTGTGCTTTTCTTTGCTAATTTCCTTAGCTTTTCATTCCATTCTTCTTTATCCCTGAGATACTGATTGTAGTCCTTGTTTCTTTCAAGACGTAGTTTCTCCTAAAACAGACATTGAAAAGTGAATCAATTTTGCATTTTGAGTAGCAAAACTTAACTTAATCTCTTCACTTTATCCAAGAAATAAAGGATGTTTTTGCAGGGCACCATAAAGCCTGCAGAAACTGCAGACAGCTATGAAAGCTGACAGAGGGGTATATCCTCCTAGGCTGAGAAACTAACATTATCCTTAAAAGCTAGTAAAACACCCAGCAGAAACATCAGTATGCTGGGTGACTGCACATTTTACCTAGCAAGAAAACAAAAATGCAAGTGCATTTTACCAGAAAACAAAAATGTGTTACCCTCTAAACATCATCTGCAGAGAGGTTGACTATTTAGCAGGGCACAACAGGACACCTTCTGGCTGCTTTTAGTTTCTACAGTAGCAGTGCATAAATGGATAAAGAGAATACAACACACCTCTGTACAAAATCTCAACAGAATGCCAAACTGCTGTTACAAAAAAAAAAAATAATTAAAAAAAAAAAAAATAAAAAAAAAATCCCAAGTTCAGATGTCTTTATTTTCCACAGAATTAACCAAAAATATTTTTCCACCATTCCCAAAAACTTGAAGCCAACTTAATCTGGCACAAATACATTCTTCCCCTTCCCCAGGCATTTCACTCTTGCTGCCTCCCTTTGTCTTCACACTAATATAATTTGGGGGACTTGGGGCTTCTTTGTAATGCTTTTCATTCATTTGAGGTCTCATGGCTCCTCAGAAGCCCAAACGTTATTGTCAGGACAAAAGAAGGCAGAAAGAATTTATAAGCACAGCCATTATGGGAGCAGCACATTCCATAGCAGAAGTCACATGCCAGATTACAGAGACTGTGTAGCCACAAACACAGAGCAAGAACGTAATTCTAAAACAACACAGGTTTAAAAAATACGCATCTACAGAGCTAAGAATGCATCAACAGTCCAGTCATCCTCCAGTTCTTTCCCTTGCATGTTGACCAGGGTTTCAATGATCCTTATAAACCAGCAGTAATCAACGAGTCAGCAAAAATATTTAATAAATGACAGTATTTCTGCTGTTTCAGTGTCATGCATCAATTCATAAGAAAGCACAAGAAAGGAAGAGGTAATATAAAGCAAACTGTGTGAGGGCCTCAAGAGTCAAGTGACCCCCATAAGACAGTTTTAGGCCTTCACAGAAAGATATTATGCTTCAGCACAACGGGTCAGAAGTTAATAAAACCCACACATGGGTGTTGCATCTTTGTGTCTAGCCTCCACCAACATCCAATAACAGAGACCGACCTGGTTGATACATTTCTCCAACATATGAAAACAAAACTAGACATCTCAGGTTACATGTAAAGAATGTGTGTTTTTCATCAAATACATTAGTACAGTTCTCTCAAAGAAAAAATGAACGTGGGAAAACTGTACTAACAGTAGGCAATTTGTGAAATACCAGATCAGCTTTTATTTTACATTCCTGGATTTAACTGTTTAAAATAATGATCCCAGGACAATAAGCAGGTAGTGTGCAGACATGTAAGTGTACAGTGAAAGAAATCAAAACAAGTTGCATATAGCAGAAAGTATACTTTCTGTTAAGCAGAGATATCACTACAGAAATCACTGTAAGCAAATACTTTTCAAATTGATCTTATCATCAGACTGGAATAAGAGTCAAAAATTAGAAAAGTATCCACAAGAAAAAACAGTGTCTTTTAATTAATTGGTAGGCAGGGCTGGACAAGAACAAGCACAAGCAGGAGAGCTTTTAAACAGCTCAAGTGCTCTGTAAATGTATGCAGGAACAATTTTTGTGTAACAGTTAAGACATCTGGGTTCATTTTCAAGTTGCACATCATTTAATTTCCTCCAGGCACTCACCTTGGCAGACCTTCGCTCATCAATAGGAAGAGATAATCCCTGAGTATAAGGATCTACTTCACCTGTAGTCAGGTAATTTTTCTACAACGAGGAAGAAAGAAAACATAATTCACTATACTTTAAAACACTCAATCTCAGTTGCTAAATAGCTGGCAGGAATTGTAGTTGCTGAAATGTACCTCATCAGTTCAAAGAAACAAAGACTGATGATAGCCATCATGCTCTGAAGATGTGGGATTTCCTCAGAACAGATGAAGTCAAGGAATACGGAAAGTGAAGGGCTTTGTTAGTTCCACGCTTTAAGTTTATGTTTGAAAGTGTTCCCTGCACTTTCCTTTACACTACCTCAAGGACTATTTAGTCTCTGCATATTAGAAGATAAACACATTACAAATACAAAAATACGGAATTTTTCTGTAAAACTGTAAGCAATAGAGAATTTTTCCAAGACGTTGCTCTACTTAAGATGAAAGATTAATTTTTCCAACTAGAGAAAACGTTGGTCTCTCTTATTTTAACCAATGGAACCCATGCTAATGCTAGTCACTACTCTTCATATCAATACTATCTGTTTGCAACAACAGCAATCAGCAGTATTTCCTGATAACAACTCACTACCAAGCCTTGTCATTCCTTATGGAACATCAGCTACTTTCTCAATGAGTTTCCAGGAGAAAACACGATGGCGTTGTTTAGCCCAGCTCCCTGGGCCACAGCATGAGAACTGTAGAGCTGGCCAAAACATCAGCATTTCCAGCCAAACACCAAGCAACACTGGAACACACCTTCAGTCTCGAAGTCTAGTTGCCTCTACACCACTCCTTTACTAAAAGCATCCTCAAACCCTTCTCAGTCAATCAAATGATGTTTTATAAATACATATATTTAAAAAGCTCATTTATTTCCATGATTTGGACTGATGAGGGGAATTAATGGTATTGCTATAGGTATGGTATTTTACTAGAATGGAATCGTCCTTCCATTATCTATGCTGTAACTTAGCTTAAAAGCTTAGAGTAAATAGATAAGAGTTCTGTGTGCTCTGGAACAAAACCCTGCCATTATGACTTACATTCCACAACTACACAATAAAAGATTTAAGGGATTTAAGCACCATGCAAATATTCAAACACAGAGACAACTATATTAATACAGAGAACTAAGTTACATTTCCTAGAAAAAAAGATAAGTTATTTTATCTCTTCCTCAGGCTTTACAAGCTTAATATAGCATAACTGAAAAGCTTAAACATCCAAATACGTAGAAAACAGAATTCAGTTGGGAAGATAATACTAAAATTCAACTTAAAAATGTTATTATTCGGGCGCTTTGGTGGGAATTATTAAACTGATTAAGTTTTCATACAACATTCTAACTTCTGAAGTTTCAGATTAAACAAGAAATAACAATTATATACACATCCTTTCAACTAGAGGTTAAGAAGCCCGCTCATCCTGCTTGGCTATTGTAATTCAGGAATTCCAGAGCACACTTAATGTAGTTGCTTTGTTTCACATGCAAGTTATCCACAGTCCAGAAAAGAACAGCCACTGATTTTCTATCATGCTACCTTCTGGTCCTTTACTGAAGTTGTTTAATCTGAAAAACCTGGATACACAACATTAAAAATGTGAAAGTTAACCATTATCATGCATGACAGCACAATGGTATATAGAAGAATTACTGCAACTGTAGGCAGCTCAAAAAGATGTGCCTCTGGTATTGTTTTTCTCAAAATACTTCATTCTTGCATTCTGAACTACTGGCTGGCTCCATGCTTTCTAAAGCACCACTGATGAGATTGCACTGTAATTCCAAGAGCATTTATAATATTTCAGAGCTCACTATTTTTCCTCATCTTTATTATGAGTTTAGATATACATACTTACTATCTATCTAATGTATGCCTTGAAGCAAACATCTACTAAAATAAACTTCTGTGCAGTCAGCATTAGGCAGTAACAGTAGCAAATGCAAGGGACAACAGAAATCAGCAAATGTTTTTAAATCATAATAACGGAAAATAATAAATAAGCAATCATTCTGCACAATACAAGCAATGCAGTGAATCACAACTAATCACTACAGCACGAACAAATACACAAAGCACAAAAAAATAATGATTTCTTTTTTAATTCAGAGGGCTTGAAGCTTTCAAACAAAGCAAAAAGCTACTAATTGAATAGGGGAAAAAAAAGATATTGCAGGCACCCTACCTTTCTTTTTGCCTGCGAAATACCCTAAAATCAGGGAAAAAATACTATTCAAAAAAATGCCTTCTGTTCACAAACATTTGACTTTGCAAGAACTGATCATTTTCTTACAGCCAATCCGTTATTCCATTCTAAGAACTAAAAGCACTGATCGGCATTTTCAAATGGAAATTATTTGCTTCCTGATTTTTTGTTAGTGGGACCTGATACATTAAGAAGAGATACAGAATATTCCCAAGATAGGACACTTCATACATACCATTTCCATTTAAAATTATTACTGTTGCAGATAATCAATCCTGCTAAGCAGAGCATGGAAGCTCTTTTATCTCTAAACTAAAAAGAAGCCAGGAAATGGAGTCACTTAGAGGAATTACAGACAGCAGAATAAATAAGTACTTAAGAATGATACTTTAGAAGCATGTGATATTTAAATTCTTCAGTAATAAGAAAGCAGTAAAGAGACAAATAAAGGAATTTAGAATACTGCTAGATTCTAAATGGCAATGAGATCTAAAATCTAAAATGTATTTAGAAGCCTAAAATATAAAACCCTTCTCAGCGGTGACACTTTGAAAGTACTTTTATTCAAAAGGTCTTTGAAACCTTCTGAATAAAACCTTTGAAATTCATAACAAGTGCTTTCTTATCACAAATTTCTCACAAATCTCATGCCATTTAATTCAATTAAAATGACTCTCTTCTTGTAAAAGACTCACTGAAGTCAGACAAGCAGACAAGAACCATTACCTGAGAGAGATACCGCCTATAATCTTGTCGAAGTTCCTCTTTCAGTTTATGCTTCTTTCGTTCATATTCTTCTCCGAGAGGTAAACTCCAGCCGTAGTCACCTGAAAGTTTAACTCTGATAAACATTATTATTCTACCACTTGGAATCAATACAAAGCACATGCTGCAAAACACACACCTGGATTTTAATCAGACATGGCAAAACATAAAGATTGATGCAGGCAGCAAGTACAAAACAAACAAAATTAAAACCCACCCTCTCTGTGATTAGTTGGATGGAAAGCATGCTAGAAAAATTCACTGTTTGGGGGATATCAGTTTTCCTCTAGTGCTTGTATTTTTCTCTCCCCACTGGAATAAAGGAGCAAATTAATTAAAAGAGAGTATCAACTATCTACAATATTCAGGTTATTCTGACTTGTTTCTTTTAACAAGCGTTTCAAAGGAAATCTCTCTTCTTTCACATGTTACTCTACAAATCACTGATATTTTAGGCACTGCTAACCACACAAGATGAAATATGCTAAACTAGAAAGCAGCAAGCTGCCCATTCAGCATGAAACACATGAAATCCACATTGGCTTCCATACAACTAGAAGGAATCAAACTTCATAATAACGATATTCAATTTTTCTTTCCACTTCAGTGAGCCGTACTTTTTCTTTTATTTAACAGACTCAAAACACACATTTAGTTCATTTCAAGAGTTACTGTGTAACCTTGTTACAGCTGCACTCTTAAAATACAATGCTGTGGAAGTTGGTTGTTGTTCCCAGAATACATTCATCTGTTTTGTAAGAAATATGCTCTGCCCTAGCAGACCACTTCTGCTGAGATTTCCATCACTTCCCACGGACAAAAAAACACACAATAAAAGGACTGCAACTTTCATTTTAATTGCCTGTTGTTTCCCTGAAAGCATTTCCACTTCTTTAACACAAAAAGGACAGCGTTTAGAACACGGAAATAAATGAGGTACAAAACCTACAAGTGTATACATGAAGAAAAAAAAAAAAAGGATTGCCTACCAATCAAGAGGGGACAAAAAAGCTCTAAAGTTGTCAGGACACGCCTAAACTACAACTAAGTAGATAGAATCATAGAATCATAGAATCATAGAATCACCAAGGTTGGAAAAGACCTAAAAGATCACCCAGTCCAACCGTTCACCTATTCCCAATAGCTCCTACTAAACCATGTCCCTCAACACAACATCCAGCCTTTCCTTGAACACCCCCAGGCTCGGTGACTCCACCACCTCCCTGGGCAGTCCATTCCAGTGCCTGACCACCCTTTCTGAAAAGTAATACTTCCTCATGTCCAGCCTGAATCTCCCCTGCCGTAGCTTGAAGCCATTCCCCCTGGTCCTATCACTAATGACACGAGAGAAGAGGCCGACCCCCAGCTCATACAACCTCCCTTCAGGAAGTTATAGAGAGCAATGAGGTCTCCCCTGAGCCTCCTCTTCTCCAGGCTGAACATTCCCAGCTCCTTCAGCCTCTCCTCATAAGGCCTGTGTTCCAGACCCCTCACCAGCTTTGTTGCCCTCCTTTGAACACGTTCCAGGGCCTCAATGTCTTTCTTGCAGTGAGGGGCCCAAAACTGGACACAGTACTCGAGGTGCAGCCTCACGAGTGCTGAGTATAGGGGAAATATATATTTTTATATAATAATATAAATATATATAATATATATTAGTTGTGCCTACAGAAAGGAGACGGTATGATCAGGAGGGTAGGATGGTGCAGCACAGAATAAAACAGAGGAAAGAACACTGCCACACATCCACAAACCAGAATCACAAACAACACAGAGAAGAGAAAGAAAACAGAATGATACACATGGGAAAAGAAACCCAAAACCCACAGCTGTGATTAAGAAGTCCAGTCACAACACATTCAGAAATCTAATCATTTCACTGGTCTTGGAAGATTCTTAACTCAGTGCTTGCTCTTTCCTGGATAATGTATGACTGCATTATAACAACTTTTATCATAAAAGCAACAAAATCAGTTTAGTACTCTATGCCTAAGAGTTTAATGGATATTTGGCATTTGCAAGAAAAATTACTTTAACTATGTTCGTTTTAGCCAGGTCTGAGTGAGCCTTGCAAGCTGCGAGGCCAAAAGAAAAGGCATCCTTACTTCCCTGGCACAAAGCACAGAGAAAGTGCCCTTCAACAGCAAGATGACAGTTTAGATGAAAGATGGACTTTCAAAGCTTTTGCTACCATTACCTCACATAGCAGGAAAACATCAATCCTCTACTGAAGATTAAGCAGCAATTTTGACTTGCTTTTTTCAAATAACACTACTTCTGGAAAAAAAGTGTTTTGCACATTTTCCTTATTCAAATCCCAGAAAAAACAATAATAATTACAAAGAATTCCACACAATACCAAGATACTTGAAAGAATAAAGAATCAGTATGCACTTCAACTAATGTTTTAATTAAAAATCCAAAGCAGTAATTGCTTTCCAAAAATTCCCACAGGTAATCAAGCACTACTTAAACCACAAGATGCAAAAATATATACTGTACCTAAAGGACAGTTCTGTTGACTGTTTGGAGGTATGTTTTCTTTAGACATGGAGATGAACATTTTGCCAGTCTCAGAAAGCTTCTCTGATTCCTTATTCTGAAAAAAAAAACCCAAAAAACAAAAAACAAAAAACCACCCACATCATCAGAAAGAAATGTCCCAACAACATCATTAATGTAACATCATTAACAACATCATTGATGCACCTGAGAAAGGAGATTAAAAGTAAGGTTTAGCACATGGAACAGATTATAAATCTCACTGATTCTATCAGAAAAGTAGCTTCTCCTCTACAACATAGAAATCAGCTCAGTAAGTTTCACATCATAAGCTATTTCAACTGCTTCCACATGGTTTCCATGTATTATCTCTGTTTTCTGTGGGAGCTGAATTGATGTACTGCACTCTGACTGATACCATGAAGCAACTTCAAGGTATTTCAGGGCAAGATGAAAGTACCTGCTCCCTGTAAGTACACTTTCACCACACACCTTCAGACTTTATCAAAACACAGGCTTGGAAACATTCTCCTCCTCTTTATCTTGTTTTGTGCAGTTGATACAAAAATGCAGGCAGCCCAATGACTCTGTAAGAAATAACTTTCTTAGGAGATGTATTACAACTAGGTAAAAACACTGACATTACCCACATAAATGGAAAGAAATTCCAATAACCTACCAAAACAAAACCAAGAATGAAACATCATAAACGCGTTTAAAAGCTTAAGCTATTTGGGGGTATGTCCACCCACTTTTATTTTTCCTTTTAAACTGAGGATCCAATTCAAGCTGCCTGAGAGTTACAGTAGCCAAATAATTTAGAGGACAGCTTCTTGCTAAGTACTGTTTAAAAAAAAACCTAGATGGTGATTTGCAAATTAGAGATGTACAGCTTTAGAGTTAGGCACTCAGCTTTCTAACAGGAAAACCATGATAAGAACAGATTTTGTTGAACTGATTGGACTCAGTAATTCATTCTTTTTCTGTTTTGTAGTTTCCTTACCAGAAACGTTAAGGCTATTTTTTACCTTCCACCCCATCCCACCACCCACTCTCTTGGAGTGGGCAGAGAGCAATTCCCTAATTGGAAAATACAAATGTTACTGCGTATGCTTGGTGGCAAGCAGCTTATAAAAAGATCTACCTAAGTACAGATAAGAAGTATGTATGATAGAAATGGGTTTGACTAGATAAATCATTCATATATGTGTGTGCTTTAACAAAATATACAGCTTTTAGAGCATACTAAAAGCTTAAAGTGAGACCCTAGAAACGTGTTTAAATTCAGAGAAGCTAATTAATACTCTTACCCTTATTTCCATGTAAGGTGGATCATTTTCAAGCTCTGCCTTATCTTGTGCCAACTTGGCCTTCTGATCTTCAATAAACTTTTCTAAATCTTCTGCCATCATTTCTAAGTTGTAGGAAAAACACATTTGTGTCAGAATACAGAAAAACAAACAACCAGAAAGCCAGAAAACACGCACAGGAGCTGGACAGCATACTGTTACTTTTTGTATCAAAAAAATAACAGGAGCAAGAGGAATAGCTACCATCTTGCAATAACGGTACTGCCATGGATACCAGGCAGCACTGCCTTTAATCAGACAGGCAGGAACAGTTGATTGCCTCCTCTGTTAGCTGTGCATCTTACCTACGGAGCTGAAAGCTCTTCAGGGTTGAAATGTTAGCATCATTGTAGTGCAACTTATTGTGCACTGCTGCTGCTAGACAATTTCATAACAAAAATTAAAAGTGAATTAAATCAGTGATGGTAGAATGGTACAGAAGTCAGGGCACATCCTCAGGTTTCACACAGCTGGTTTGGGTAGTTTATCAGAACTAGAAATGCTGAAAAGCTGCATACTGCATAGCCATGGGGGAAGAAAAAGAAGGAAAAGAGCCACTGCATTCAAGCCCGCTCATCCTAATCTCATCCTAATCTCAGCATTAATCTCTAAACTCCACTGAAGAAAGTCATATGAAACCATGCCAATGGATAAAAAAAATCCTGTGTTATATTCTACTCTTAGAGGAAGAATGAAGTGAGGAGGAAATCAAGATCCTTAAGTCACTCAAATGCTATCCCCATAACTTCAGCAACGCAATTGCTTGTGAAGGCTTTCATCAATCCCATGCTATCCAGGTTCTAAAGCACAGACTGTACAGCAGTTTAAATAAGGCTAATTCACTATCTTGCTAAAAATTATATTAAGTAAACAGTAAGTCCAGAGTAAGAAGATAATAAATAATTTCAGGAAGAACATCACAGAAATTTAAAAATAAAAATAGAACAACCAGGAATAACACACACATACACACACACAAAGCCCAGGAAAATAAGACATTAAGCAGGAAAACATTATACAGTGCTCAGGGAGAATGTGATTAACACTTACTATGAAAATCAAGATCAAGATAAGTGATGTCAAAATCGGAGCAGGTAAATAAGTTAACGTGCAGTTACTTCAACTTAAGGAATACAAGGAATGCATCTACTTGAACCGTCATGTCTTACATGAGCGCCCTCTTGGATTGAAAATCTGAACTCTGATATTGTTACAAAGGAGGCAGAACTAGGACATCCCATTTGCAAGCCCTAGTGGTAACGCGGGACAATCAGTTCCAAAAATAAATTTCTCATCTGATTTATGCTAAAACTTTAATCTCATTACTTTTGCACAGTGATAACAGATCAAAGATGTCTATAAGACAGTAAGATTTGAGGCACTGATGAGTTTCATTGAGCCTATTAGGTTACGTAAGAATAACGAAAAGCCTGTTCTGAGTGGATAAAATAACTTGTCATAGAACCATAGAATTGCTCAGGTTGGAAAAGACCTTAAAGATAATCAAGACCAACCTCAACCTAACCAAACTACCCTAACTCTAACAGCCCTCCACTAAATCACGTCCCTGAGCACCACATCCAAAAGGCTTTTAAACACATCCAGGGATGGTGACTCAACCACCTCCCCGGGAGCCTATTCCAGTGCTTAACCACCCTTTCTATAAAGAAGATTTTCCTGATATCCAACCTAAACTTACCCTGGTGTCACTTGGGGCCATTTCCCCTTGTCCTGTCACCTGTCACCTCTGAGAAGAGACCAACAACTCAAATCTAGTAATATATAGTAAATAGTAATTAACTTATTAGCATCAGCTACAAAGTGCATCATCCACAGGAGGGAAAATTCCCACATGAAGGAGCGTAAGCTTTATGAGACAAGAGAAAATGACAGATTATACAGCTGCAAAGATTTACTCGTCACCACAGAACACCTCAATCCTAAATAAAAGAGCATGCTGTTGGTTTAGCAATGTGTCAGAATGAATGATGTGAATTACCAGATCCTTGCAGTCATTCCTAGTGATAGCAGCAGGTTCAAAACCAGGCTTGAAGACATTGCTCAGTGGGTACCCTGTGTAGAGCAGGAGAGGACCATGTGGTAAACACTGGAAAAATCTAACAATAAGCCACAGGTCTCCAGAATTACATGGTACAAGTGACAGATGTGTCAAGGTATTCAAAATAAAGTATTTTGTAAATGCTATTAAAAGCATATATATTTTTGACAGCAAAGATCTGCTGATTCTTCCTTCAGCCCTATCTTAAAACTTGTATTTGCATGCCCAAGGCACAGTATCACTCAAATGAAAATTAAATTAAACTTACTATTTGTTCAGCTGTTGCTGGGAAAAACCCTAATACATATATATATATTATATTTTTAATTTTCAAGACTGTTTAGCTTGTTTTGTTTTTTTTTTTTTCTATAACCTATCATTTTTAAAATGGAATTTTTCATAAAAGCAACTCTGAATAAACAAAAAGCCAGACAGACATCACCTTAGTCACATACAGCAAGCAATGGAAAGCATAGATACATTCAAGACAAAAAAACATGTCCTAATGCCAGAGACAGACACTGGATCTACACCCAAACACAATTAATAATGCATGTCTCCATCCTCGAGACACTCGAGCCACCTGTTTGTATATGCAGCACCATATTGGAACGTGCACTGTGCATCTCTTTCATTACTTAGGTAAACATGCACTGTGTTCCTCTTTACCACGGAACCATAGAATTGCTCAGGTTGGAAAAGACCTCAAAATTCATCAAGTCCAACCACAACCCTTCCCCTCGTATTTCTTCAAGAAAGCGAGGCAAGGATCTAAAATCAGCACATGTGATCAGATTGCGTGCTGTGCTATCATAATTCTGAATATCCAGAAAACCTGACAGATGGCCATTCTCCTCCACAGAAACTGCAGCAAGGGTGGCAGGGGAGTGAAGTGCTCCAAGAAGCTCCCGCGTGTGACGTTCAGCAACCGCACTTACAGGCACACTCACAGTTACCAGACTCTAACTAAAAAAAAAAAAAAACAACAAACATGACTTTTCCTAACTGTGAAGGCAACCATCCATCGAAACAACAAGCCAATGAGTTCTGTGAGTTATTTCCCCTCACTTTAAGACCTCACCTACATTTGCAGACCACGTCCCACGGCCCCAGAAAAATGAACTGGAGGAAGCCCTGAGGGACGGCTGACATTTGTTGCTCCAACAGCACAGCCCTTCCCGACGTGGGCGGCCCCGGCACCCCCGCGCCTCCTCACGCCGCACCCGGAGCGGGGCGGGGCTGCGCGCCCAGCCCCTCACGGCAGCGCTACTCCGTTGTCAGGCAACGGCCGTACAACAAGCGGCTCCCACCGGAACGCCCCGCCGCCCCCACATGGAACACGGAAGCCCGCTCCGGCCCCGCGCCCCCGTTCCCTGTTCCTCGTGCCCCCGTTCCCTGTTCCCCGCTCCCCGCACGGGCCCGTCCCGTTACCCCGCCGCTCGCCCCGCGGGGGACGGCGAGGTAGCCCGCTCCGTTCGCAACCCGGGGCGGACGCTCGGCCTCCGCTCTGCGGAGTTGGGAATGGGGCAAAACGGGGCGAAACATCACCGAGCGCCGTCCCGACCGCACCGCCGCTCACCGGCGCTCGCAGCCCCGTCCGCCTCCCGCGCCAGTTGCCACCTCCCCGGAAGCCGGCTGGCGGCTTTCTGTCGCCCCGGAGGGCTTTCTCGTTAGCGCCCCCTGCCGCTGCGGAGGACCCGGCCCGAGGCCTGCGCGGATCGTACCGCCACCTCCTCGCTCCGCCCAGTGAGTCGCGGCCTGGCTCGGGCCGGTGCGACTGCAGGGGCGCGTTGAAGCGGGCCGGGCCGGGCGCGGGGCGCGATGGCGGCGGCGAGCGGCTCGTCAGGGAGCGGGATGGCGCAGAAGACGTGGGAGTTGGCCAACAACATGCAGGAGGCGCAAAGCATCGACGAGATCTACAAGTACGACCGCAAGCAGCAGCAGGAGATCCTGGCGGCCAAGCCGTGGACCAAGGAGTGAGAGCGGGGCCGTGGGGCGGGCGGGCGGGCGGGCGGGCGCGCGGCGGGGCCGGGGGGTGAAGCGAGGCGAGGCGAGGCGAGGCCCTGAGCGCTTCCGCGGCCTCTGTCCCGCTATAGCCACCATTACTTCAAGTACTGCAAGATCTCGGCGCTGGCCCTGCTGAAGATGGTGATGCACGCCCGCTCTGGGGGCAACCTGGAGGTGATGGGGCTGATGCTGGGCAAGGTGGACGGAGAGACCATGATCATCATGGACAGCTTCGCTCTGCCGGTGGAGGGCACCGAGACCCGCGTAAACGCGCAGGCGGCCGCCTACGAGTACATGGCCGCCTACATCGAGAACGCCAAGCAGGTACGCAGTGGGGGGGGTATGGCATGACTCTTACCTTCTTGCCTTCTGAAGTCTGAAAGCGCGGTAAACTTCTCACTTACCGAAAGGTAGCAGAAATGTAACTGGTGAGTTGGGCAGAGAAGAAACTGATGAGCTTCAGTGAGGGCAAGTGTAGGGGCCTGCACCTGGGGAGGAATAACCACACACATCAGTACAGGTGAGGGGCTGACCTACTGGAGAGGAGCAGGTTCTGGAGAGGAGGGGCTGACCTGCTGGAGAGAGATCTAGGTGTCCTGGTGGACAGCAGGTTGGCCATGAGCCAGCAGCGTGCCCTTGTGGCCAAGAAGGCCAATGGGATCCTGGTGCATTAAAAAGAACATGACCAGCAGGTCAAGAAGGGTGATCTTCCCTCTCTGCCCCAGCGAGACCACATCTGGAGTATTCTGTCCGTTTCTAAGCTCTCCAGTTCAAGAAAGATAGGGAGCTTCTAGAGAGAGTCCTGCAGAGCACCACAAAGATATGAGGGTCCTGCAGCATCTCCTGCATGAGGAAAGGCTGAGAGCTGAACAGGGACTGTTCATCCTGGAGGAGGCTGAGGGATCTCATTACTGTTTGTAAATATCTAAAGTGTAGGAGTCAAGTGGATGCAGCCAGGCTCTTTTCAGAGGTATGCGGCAACAGAACAAGAAACAACAAAAAAAAATCTGCAGCATAGGAAGTTCCATACAAACATAAGGAAGGACTTTATCATAAGAGTGATGGTGCCCTGGAACAAGCTGCACGGAGGGGTTGTGGAATATCCTCTGAGGATATTCAGAACCTGCCTAGAGATGTTTTCCTGTGTGAGCCACCATAGGAAACCTGCTTTTGGCACAGGGATTGGGCTAGGTGGTTATCCCCAGAAGTCCCTTCCAATCCATACAACTATGTGATTCTGTGAAATATTGATCTGCACTGTGGCTGATGGAGAAGCCAGCATGGCACATGAGCACTTGCTGGCCTGCTGCTGCCAACACACAGCACTCTGACACTGCAAATAAGCACTGAAATCCCTCAAACTGTCCAAGCTCAAATAGTTTGAGGCCCAGTTTAACCTTTGATTTGCTGTTAATCCTTGAAGTATTTTAAATCAGCTGAAATTGTAGGGTCCTTACATAGTGTAGGTAAAGATACAGCTATTTGGGTTATTTTGGAGAGGTGTGCTTATAGTCACAGCTTTCCTTGGGTTTAATGAGGTTTAAATAAATTAGGCTGGATCATGACTTCAAAAGAGAGTAAATACAGACCAAAGGTAAATATGTTCTAAGGCCTGTGGTGGGTTTTTTTGAGGCTTTTTAAAAAATAATTTATCACACTTCTTTATGAGAAAATTCTAAAGTAGTTATTTAATGTAGTTAATTGTATCTGGATACTATTAAAGTAATGATTTTAATACTATTGTTGCTGAAAGTTGTAGAAAATGAAAGGGTGTTTTTGTCTGAAGATATGTTTGTAGATAGAAAAAATGTCTGAAGTATAGAGCATAGCATTGGTATTTACATATGCAGTTTAGTTCATTCGACTTTTAAAACAGCCCAGGTTTATATGGGAGTATTCATCACATGAAAATCAAGCAAAAATAATAACTCAGCTTTGCTGTTGCTCTGGCAGAGTGCATGCTGGCTGCTTTACTTCAGAGGTTGGCAAGCACTTTGTCCTGGAATACCTCTTCTTAATATTAGATTACATGTTGATAATATCCCTCTGCATAAGTGCTTTACAGAAGCTCATGTTGCAGTTACTCACTCCTCCACAGGCAGGATCCGATGTTAAAATGGTTAAAAGAATAAAGTCCTTTGTTTCACCAATTCAAAAATAAAGTAAATCTTCCGTTCAGTAGATACTGTGTTCTGTCTCTTAATAGTTTCCAGATTTAACCTTCCTGGCATGCTCAGTATTTGGCAAAACCAAGCAGCTAAATGCATTGAACACACTGCCAGGTAGGCTGTACTGAAATAGTTTCACTCAATATTGAGCAGCCAGTACACAATTCTTGCCCAGTTTCAATAAACTAGGTGCAGTGAGTGTTTATTCTCCTTGATGAACCACGATTTTTGATTTTGTTTGGGGTACTTGTAGAAATAGCTCAGAGTATTATTTGGAAACTTCTGTTAGGAGTTTCTTCGAGGCGAAAAATCCCCTAAAATAATCTTTTGGTTTTCAATGCATACTGTGTACTGTGGCAATGAATTCTGATACTTCTGGTCTCCAAAAACGTTCAAGTTTCTATTTCTTTAAACCTACCAATGATCTCACTGTATGCACTAAATAGTGTTCATTCTCTGCTTGCTTCCTATACATTATATGCATTTCTACATGCTGGCATCATCTCCACTCTAAAAAAAATCCCACGCTGAAGAGTCCTGGCTTACTTAATCTCGCCCTGTGGAGCCTCTTCTGTACTTCAGCTGTCACTGAAGTTGTTGTCACTAAGTTCTTGGAGTTATTTGTCTTGAGGTAGCGGCTCTGACAGCTGATACTACAGATCTTACGATTTCTGGAAGGTAGTTAAGCAAAATAAGGTGTATGTTGAATATTTAAAGTTAGCATACAGGCTGTATGTTCTTTTTATCCCCTTGCTGCGTTGTAGTGTGCTGGAAGGCCCAGTAGAGGGCTGCCCATGCTTTACAAATGAGGATCATAGCTCTGCATTTGTTTTCCTTCACTGCTGTTAGGTTGGTCGTCTAGAAAATGCAATTGGCTGGTACCACAGTCACCCTGGCTACGGCTGTTGGCTCTCTGGGATCGATGTCAGCACTCAGATGCTTAATCAGCAATTTCAAGAACCCTTTGTAGCAGTGGTGGTAAGTTCTGTCTGATAGCTCATAAACTGCATAGCAAATTATGTTGAGAGGGGAGTCACTTCTAGATTTTTGTCCATTAGCAGTCTAGTAATGTGTAGTTTGCAGGATGGAAGTGTTAGATCTAAATCTTAAATTGTTATTACTGCTTTTGCATTGCTGGCCACATGCTGGTCAAACTGGTAGTCTTGTTCATTGAGGCAATTTTTGCTTCATTGTTCCAGGGGATGTAGTGCTGTACAAACCTATATGCTGCTCTTAGTTTGAAGTTGGTACTTCTGCAAAAAAATGCATTAGCAATCCATATTTAACCTCTTGCAATGTAAGAAAAATTTGTTCTCTGTGTTGCTTGTTCTGAAAAGTGAATAGATTATGTTCACACAGTTCTGTTGCTTTGAATCTAAAATGCCTTTTAGCTGAAATAAGTGGCATGGTCAAAAGTAGAAAGTGTAGGAAGTCTTTGAAGAAAAAATCTGAAGAAACTGGGCCCCTTCAGGCTGCAGATCACATTTTAAATCAAAATAAAACTTACTTTAAGTACAACTTGTGCAACTATTGCTGCTGAAGGAAATAAAGGATAAAAGACTGAAATTAGTCAGGAAGAAGGAATATAGGTAATGCTAGAATTCCATTAGACAAGGGTAAATCACCCTAAGAAGAAGTATTTCTACCATATGAGTTTCCCCATGTTATGACAATTTTAGGGATTCAGAACATTTCCTTTGGGACTTCCTTCTGTTTTCATTTAATCCTTTTTCTTTTTTTTTTCTTTAAAAATGAGGCAGAACATCAGTAATTTTGTTCTCAAGGAGATTCCTTTGCAATTCTTCTGTCTCTTCCACCAAAGTACAGCAGATCACAAGATCTTTCTTAGCTCTAGTAAGATTGTGATGTGCTCTAAGATTAAAATGTGGATTTTTATTCTGGCTTGTTGCTTGCTCTAAGTGCAATTTCTTTTCAAGTATTTGGGAAAATGGTGAAATGGGTTTGAAAAATGGTCCTTAAAAAGCCCATGGATGTCAACTGAAAAAATAGTGCTTATGACTAAACAAATAGAATTTGCACTAATTATGTTTCTGAAATATAATTGCTATTAACTCTAATAATTCATTAAATGTTACATAAGAAGCATTACATTATTTTTTACAGATTGATCCAACAAGAACAATATCTGCAGGAAAAGTAAATCTTGGTGCATTTAGGACATATCCTAAGGTAAATACTTAAAATTACTTGCAGTGTGATCAATAACCTCTCTTTAATTGATTGGTTCTAAAGATTAGTGCAGTTTGATCATCTGACAGATAAATCTGGTGCACTGTATCACTGTGCATTCATAATGACTTGATTCTATACTGGTTATTGTGTGAATATTGACAATGTTTAGAAAAGTTGAGTTCTAATATGTTTTTCAATAGATTTTTGTCAGTCTTAAATCAAATAGACTCTCTAGATAAAGGAGCTTTCCTGTCATTCATTAA